GCCGCCGCTGCGCCCGCTGTCATCGGTCGCCCGTCCGTTGCGCTGGCGTAAATTCGGCGCCCGCCAAACGTCAGCCAGCAGCTGGCGAAAGAACACCTGTATACCACCGTCAAGGCAGTCGCATTCCGCCACGGCGCCGTCAACTCCTCAAAACCACGCTCGCCTGTCCTCCGACGCTCTCTGCTGACCATCACCGCGCGCAGCCACGAGTCTTTAACCTCGCACACCACCGTCCGGCAAACTTCTCCGCCCCCTCCCATAATACCATCACACACACACCGCCACCATGGGTCTCACATTCTCGAAGCTGTTCGATCGCCTCTGGGGCAAGAAGGAGATGAGAATTTTGATGGTGGGATTGGACGCTGCCGGAAAGACCACCATCTTGTACAAGCTGAAGCTCGGCGAGATTGTCACCACCATCCCAACCATTGGTATGTACCGCCAGACAGACCGCCCTGCATCGCCAGCGCCAGCAGCACTGACAGTTCTGGTGTGCAGGCTTCAACGTTGAGACAGTCGAGTACAAGAACATTCAGTTCACAGTCTGGGATGTCGGTGGACAGGACAAGATCCGTCCACTCTGGAGACATTACTTCCAGAATACTCAGGGTATCATCTTCGTCGTCGACAGCAACGATCGCGATCGTGTTGTCGAGGCACGAGAGGAGCTGCAGCGCATGCTCAACGAGGACGAGCTCCGTGACGCCCTTCTCCTGGTCTTCGCCAACAAGCAGGATCTGCCCAACGCCATGAACGCTGCAGAAATCACAGACAAGCTCGGACTGCACAGCTTGAGACAACGTGCTTGGGTACGTATTGCTCGTGAGGTTGGGGTCTCGGTATTGGATAACACGCTGACTGTGAGACCTGCAGTACATCCAATCGACTTGCGCCACATCTGGTGACGGTCTCTACGAAGGTCTCGAATGGCTGAGCAACTCGCTGCGCAAGGCCGGCCACAACTAGACGACGAAGCGGCTCCATGCGTCCATGACAAGCATGAAAGCAGAAGAGGCACATGGACCGACTCGATTCCCGTGCTCACGCCTCTATGTTGAACTCGAGTTTGCGGCAGCAGGACAAGCAGAGAATGACTAGGGCAGGCGAGGGCGCAGGGAGGATTTGACACCAGATTATCTTGTTGCCTTGCCATAGCTAGCATACTGGTCTCGTGCCTCATTTCTCACGCGTATACCACAAGCAAGGAATGAATCTGCGTGGCTGCACGCGCTGGTGGGGGTCTTTGCAAGGCGTTTTTGTCTTAGGTCTTGGGGGAGTTGCGCACGATGTAGAATCGAGCAAGAAAGTCTCGTCTTTACTTCACTTACACATTTTTGTCGTCTCTGAGTCCCGAGTGGCATGCCCCCACCGCTGCACGTGCCCTTGTTCCTGTGTGAGGTCCGCAGAGATGCTGGAGCTCGCGTCAAGTCAGCCGGCTGGCTTTCTTGGCATAGACTGGAATCACTGGATATTCTTCGAGAACATCTGCTGTCGGACAAACACCCCCACCGAGTCCGCCGCAGCTCGCATGCTTCGATAACACCCACACACCTGCGCTCGCGAACAGTGCACGACGCACGACCATGTCCCAACCACTCCCGTCGAAGGAGCAGACGCTCTTTCGGCACCTGGTTCAGAACTATGAATCGAAGCAATACAAGAAAGGCCTCAAGGCCGCCGAGCAGATCCTCAAGAAGCATCCGACCCATGGCGACACGCAGGCAATGAAGGCGCTGATTCTGAACAATCAGGCCAAGTCGGACGAGGCGTTTGAGCTGTGTAAGCTTGCGCTCAAAAACGCCATGCGCTCGCACGTCTGCTGGCACGTCTACGGACTGCTATGGAGGAGTGTGAAGAACTATGAAGAGGCGATCAAGGCATACCGCTTTGCTCTCCGGCTGGATCCTGATAGTGTTCAGATCCAGCGAGACTTGGCTCTGTTGCAAGTGCAGATGCGAGACTACCCAGGCTTCGTCCAGAGCCGCAACCAGATGCTTCAAGCAAAGCCAGGCTTCCGGCAGAATTGGACCGCTTTGGCAGTAGCACTGCACCTGAACGGTGAATTGGACAAAGCTGAGGATGTGTTACAAAAGTACGAGGAGACTCTGAAACAACCTCCGCCAAAGAGCGACATGGAACATGCGGAAGCTCTGCTGTACAAAAACTCGATCATTGCCGAGCGCGGTGAGTATCAACGGGCACTCGAGCATCTCGAATCAATACAAAAGACGGCGTTGGACAGGACAGCGGTGATGGAGGCCAAGGCAAGCTACCTGCTCAAGCTCGACCGAAGAGAGGACGCGGAGAAGGCCTACCGAGCGCTACTGCACCGAAATGTCGAAAAGCGAGCATACTATCAGGGCCTCGAGAAGGCGCTGGCACTCGACCGATCGAAGCCTGAGGACCAAGAGAAACTGCTCGCCGTCTACCAGAGCTTTGCGGACAAAAGCCCAAGGATCGATGCTGCACGACGAATTCCATTGGACTTCCTACAAGGGGATAGCTTCCGACAACATGCCGACGCCTATCTGAGGAGATCTTTTCAAAAGGGTGTCCCGAGTACTTTTGCAAACGTCAAGCAATTATATGCTGATGTGGAGAAGCGCAATATGATCCAGACTCTCGTGGAGGGATATGCTCAAGAAGAGGTGCAAACAAATGGCGGCGCTGAGCAGCATGAGGCCAATGGCAGTGTCAATGGAACGTCAAAGTCTAGCCCTGCCGATCGCGCTCGAATGTGGTCACTGAGCGTCAACTACTTCCTCGCGCAGCATTACAACTACCACTTGTCTCGCGACCTCACGAAAGCGCAACAGTATATCGACAAAGCCATATCGATCAACACCCAATCCAATGACTACACGTACCAGATGACTCGCGCGCGCATACTGAAGAACCTGGGCGATCGAGAAGCGGCTTCCAAGGCAATGAACACAGCAAGGGAGATGGATCTCAGAGATCGATACATCAATACTAAATGCGCAAAGTATCAGCTCCGTAACGATGAGAATCAAGCCGCGATCGATACCATGGGTCTATTCACACGGAAGGAGGCTGTAGGCGGCCCTCTAGGCGATCTCCTGGACATGCAATGCGTCTGGTACATCACCGAAGATGGAGAGTCTTATCTCCGACAAGGCAAATTGGCACTCGCACTCAAACGATTCAAGGCTGTTTACGATATCTTCGAGGTGTGGAACGAGGACCAATTCGATTTCCACACGTTCTCGCTGCGGAAAGGCATGATCCGCTCATATGTAGAGATGATTCGGTGGGAGGACAAGCTACGTGAACATCCCTTCTTCACACGCGCCGCCTTGTCTGCAATCAAGATCTATTGCATGTTATTCGATCGCCCAGAGTTGGCCAAGGGCGGCGATCCGAACGGAACTGCCCAATGCGAGGCGGACAGGAAAAAAGCAGCAAAGAAGGCGAAGAAGGAGGCGGAGAGAGCTGAAGCAGAGAAGAAAGCCGCCGCTGCGAAGAAACCAGTGCCCAAGGGCGAAGACGAGGAAGCGGCACGGAAGGAAGACAAGGACCCACAAGGCCTTGAGCTGCTCAAACAAGCCGGCGAGAAGCCACTGGAGGAGGCCATGAAATATGTTACGCCTCTACTGGAACTTAGTCCGCAGAGCCTGGATGCACAGTTGGCAGGGTTTGAGGTGTACATTCGGAGACGTAAGTACCCATATGATTTTATCGGGACTAACAAAAGACGTGCTAACATATTTTCAAACAGAGAAGTACCTTCCTGCTCTGAAATGCCTGCTCGCCATCCAATCCGCTAATCCCACACACCCACAAAAAGAAGATCTGGCGAAGCGCCTGAAGACGGCAATCGACCAGGCCGGAGAGCCGCTACCCAAGCCCGCTCGGCAGGCCATGGAAGAGCTGTTCCTGAACGCTGCATGATGATCAGGAACATGCAGTGAACGTGTGATCTGTACAGTAGAGCTCCTGAGAAAGCTCTGGAGGAGCCGCACCCGATACGTGATCTTTCTCGCCCATTGACCGTGGTAGACGTCGATTCGCGATGGTCACGGAAGATGAGAAAGCCACCGGACGGCAGAAGAGCAAATCAGAATAAGTTCGTGTGCTCGTAGACTAGCGTGGCGTCACCGAGGTCGGGCCCTGTTCTTTCCTTAGGCTCATGTTGGCCGCAATAAAAGCTCTTGATGACCTGAGAGAACTGGAAATTCACTTCCTTGTACCGCCCTCTCTATACTCGTCGCATTGTCTTAGCAAAATATGCAGCTCCACCCGCATCATGTCTTCAGGTCGCACCTCGTGCTTCGAAGGACCAATTTTCCCACTACATCTCCATCGCTCCAGCAGATGTGGATGGCTCGTCGCCGAATAGCCCTTCGATTCTGAAAGGCTCGGCAAGCTGAGTGACAATTTGCACTTCGCCCTTGGACGTTGCAGCAGAAGCTTTCTGCTGCTTCTGTTGCTGAAGCGCCGGCAGTTTCAATCTCTGTTCTTGAAGGTCGCTAAGAACCGTCAAGGCCGCTGCATGGAGGTTCGGTACGCCGCCACGACTCAACCGGCCTCGCTTCCTGGCAACATCAACCAAAAACCTAGTCGTGGCGTCGCTACCTGCGGTGACGAGCGGCGGCAACTGGTAGTACTCGAGTAGCTGTTGTATCCCGTCTGGTGTCTTCTGTAGTCTCCCTAGAAGTCGGTTCACAGGCTTGATCGGATCGTCGAGCACTTGCTTCGGAAGTTTCTTCTTCGGTGCGTCTGCTGTGGTCGGCGCGGCTTTTGGTGCGATTTTCATCTCTTCGTCTGCATCGTCGTCCTCCTCGTCTTCGTCTTCATCCTCTTTAGAATATGCCTGCGCGCGTTGAGACGCCGAAGCGACCAATGCAGCCATGGGGTTGACATCTTCTCTCTCATCCATTTCCTCGTCATCATCATCCTCCTCGTCCTCAGAGACCTCGAGATCCCCATCTACCGGTTTCGTTGTCGCATCGACCGACCGCCCTTCTCTCTGTGCTCTTGCAATGTCTCGCCGACGCTCTTTCTCCTCCTCCTTATTTCGCTTACTCTCCTCAATCTCTGCGAGAATCTTGTCCTTGTATGGGAACAGATTTGGAATGCCAGGGTCCTTCTTCAGTCGTGACCGCCATTGCGGGTTCTTCTTCGCCTCCTTGCGCTCTTTGCGTTGTTTATTCGCTGAGGCTTTTTGAATCTTGTGCCTCAAACGCACTGGCACTCGCTTAGATTGTGGTTTGCCGACCTTCATGTTGTCGGCTCTGTGTGTAATTTGGTTGGTGTTGGCAACTTGAGGCCTTGAACACCGAGACTTTTCTGGTGGCTTGGTCGGAGCGTCGGCACCTGGAAGCCGATGCTATTTTCTCCGTCTCCAGCCAAGCCAAGCTCCCCATGTTCGGGGCTAACAAGAAATATACAGTAGACTTGAAATTCAAAGGCTCTTCATCGTATAACATTTCATCGTGACACTGGGCTACATATTGACTTTGCAATATAGCGCCTTCTCGGAATATGTAGATCACCATGCACTTATGGCATTTCGAGACCGCCAGCTGCACCGTAGCGTGCCCCGTCTAAGATAAATTGCTGGTAAGAACAGCTCATGACACACCAACATTCATCCCTTGCCAATCCTCCAGCTCCGCTACAATGTCAGGTAGCATAGCTTCCACATCTTCCTCTCGAACGCCAAGTGCTCCGGTAATGAGTCTCCTGTACTCTGTTTGCTTGTTGTTCATACCCGCGTTCGAAAGAGCCTGTACGATGGCCGTGAAGAGCGTCTTTCGTTTCTCCACAAGCTCGTACAGTTCTTGCACAAGTGGTAATTTTTGACTGACAAGTTCCTCTTCGTCTTCGAGCATCATATCATCAGCGGGAGAGTCTGACTGCGACTGTTCCTCTTGATTCAAGATTTGCTTCAACTCGGCATCCTCATCTTCTCTCATCAAGGCTTCGTATTCTTGCATGAGCGAGGTTAGCTTCTGGGATAAGGCGTCGTCATCATCGGCTCCGTCGCCTGCTTGTTCGAGCTCTTTCGCGGTGAGCTCTTCCAGCTGCCGATGTAGAAGTTCGATCTGCGCTGAACGTTCTGCAGCAACCCTCTCGGCTTCAATCCTCTCCATTTCTTTCTCTTCAATCTCTGACTCGAGATGTGCGGCGAGCTGATCGGCTTTGCTTTTCAGTGCTGGTACGATTGCTGACGTTAGCGAAAGAGCAGCTTCAGACTTATACAAGCTGTTATCTGATGATTGTGAAGCTTGGGCAAAGCCGGCCAAAGCTGGGTCGATCGCCATGCTGCCATTCATGCCATTCAGATGCGACCGTACCGGACCACCAGTGAACGTGCTGCCTCGTGTGTCAGCCTGAAAAGGGGACGAAGACAGCTGACGGTGGTTGTTCCGCTCCTGTCGCCGACGGTTCAGCTGGACAATTAGAGAGTCTGCAGTTTCTCCCATTGAGTTGGGTATCCCAACAGCCGCATTGCGACCTATCAGGCTTCTCACACATTTTCGCGCACCATTGCGGGCTGCGATCGTGATTGCAGTATCCCCATTGTGATCCTGTGTGTTCAAGATGCGCTCGATATTGTCTGGACTCATGATCTCAGGCATCTTGTTGAGAATGCAGTCCATATAATATCTTGCGCATTGGTATTTGCTCTTGCGTTCCGTGATGTTGGCGATATGGTGGAATACGGTCTGGCCCCACCATTCTTGCATGTTCACTGTACGAATCAGTAAACCCGCAAGCTTATCCATATTTTGGCGGTCGTAGTTGTTGGTGAAAAGCACAGCCCGCATCAGCGGTGTCTCGCCGTTCTTCGATTGCACATCCACGGCCGCCTGTCTTCGGATGAGGTCCTTAACCACTTCAAGGTCGCCCATGGCAGCAGCCCAATGCAGTGCCGTGTGGCCTTTGTCGTCAATGGGTCGATTGAGGTCTGCGCCTTGAGGGGGCGAAGGAGCGAGCGGCAGCTGGTCCAGTGGGCTGTCCATAAGCATGAAGTAATCCAGCAGCTCATCGGCCCACAATTGATGCTCCTTGTCAGCTTGGGTCATCTCCTCGACTCTGCGCCGCTTGCGGTCTCCTCCCGTGTATTGTGGATCGTAATCATCGAAAGCTTCGGAAACAACAGTGACATCGTCTGGCGTTTCTCCGCCTTGCATGCTCATCTGGTCGTAATCGTGCATGCCTGCGTAGCCTGCGCTTCGTTTCGTTGGCGGGTTCATTGGCGATTCGCTCACTTTCTTGGCAGGTGCTCGCCTGGAGTTTGGAGGCGCTCTCGGGGCTCGGGGCTTAGATGAGGCAGCTGTAGCATGTTTTGGCGCCGGCGGTGGACTTCTGTCGCCAGGGACGAAATCAAAGATGGGTCTCAGCTTCTCGAGCACGCCGTTCTTTTGTGCAAGTTCCCGGCCGTCTGGCAAAGGAATCCATGTTCCTGCGCACACAGTCTCTGATCAGCAAGCATGACCTCTTTGGGCAGCCTTTGCTCGTCGCATACCCTGGTATTTGCCATAGCCTCCCTGCACTTTTTCGTGTACGCCCTTCTGCACTTCGCGCTCGAGGATGCGTGTTCGCGCAGGTTTGTCGTAGTCGGCGACTTTGAGGATGTGCGTCGCATTGATCCAGTCATCGGAGCGCCGGCGCATAATATGATTGCCGGCGACATTGTACTCGTACACGGGCACCTGGACAGCGAGGTTAGCGGCGCAGCATACGGAGGGCGGGGCGAGAGGGCAGCGCGCACATTGCTGTAGGTCGCGCTGTAGATCTTCTTGTCGTCGGGCGCCATTGTGGGCGGCGTGCGAGCAGCTGCGGTTGCGCAGCCGGCGTTGCGGGTCTGCTCTGCAGTCTGCGGTTATGCGAGTGGTCTGTGTGTCGTGAAGTGCTTGCGTCGAGACGCGTCGGTTGCGCAAGTCGCGTTGGCTTCGGTGCCAAGACTTTCCGAAGAGCGGGATTTCAGACCGGGGTGGGCCACGCGCGGGCAGTCCGAGTCAGACTTCGGTCTTGCTGTACGAGTGAGTGTTGGGCACAAGACAAGACAAGACAAGACAGCTTATCAAGGTCCTGCTCGCATCATCAGTTCGTGCTGGCAGCGCGAGTCTAAGCTTGGACAAATTTCATACGCTAACCGCAGCCACTGCCATTGGCGAGGACTCACGCGAGCAAGACACTTGGACAGAACATCGTCAAGACAGCAGCAAACATGCCGAACGTTGGCCTGATAGATCACTCACCACGACACCCAGAGCCCGCTGCACCTGTTCCCACGGCTTCAAATCTCATCTTGATCGACAACTATGACTCCTTCACCTGGAATGTGTACCAATATCTCGTGCTCGAAGGAGCACAAGTCGAAGTGATTCGCAACGACCAGATTACGCTCGATGAATTAATAGCCAAGAAGCCGACACAACTAGTCATCAGTCCCGGACCTGGTCATCCCGAGACCGATTCGGGCATCAGCAAAGATGCCATCAAGCAATTCAGTGGCAAGATACCCATCCTCGGTGTCTGCATGGGCGAGCAGTGCATCTACTCCGTGTTCGGCGGGACTGTCGAGAAGACTGGCGAGATCCTTCATGGCAAGACTTCTCCTCTTCGACACGATGGCAAGGGCGTCTATGCAGGTTTGCCACAAGATGTGGAAGTCACGAGGTACCACTCGTTGGCTGGAACTCACCCTACTTTGCCGGATACCCTGGAAGTTTCGTCGTGGATCGCAGTCGGCCCAGACGGAGGTAAAGGGGTCATTATGGGTGTTCGGCACAAGGAGTTGCTGGTTGAAGGTGTCCAATTCCATCCTGAATCAATTCTCACAGCTGGAGGCCGACTCATGCTGAAGAACTTCTTGCACATGCAAGGTGGTACTTGGGCAGAGAATGCCCGTCTACAGACCGAAGCGCAGCGAGTCTCAACTGGTGCCAAGGCGCAAACAGACGGGACTGCCAATGGCGAGACGAAATCCAACATTTTGGAAAGAATATACGATCAGCGCAGAAAGGACGTAGCAGAGCAACGCCAGATTCCGTCCCACAGATTTGAAGATCTACAAGCTACCTACGACCTCAATTTGGCGCCACCTTTGGTCTCGTTCCCAAACCGACTGAGGCAATCGCCGTTCAAACTTGCACTTATGGCCGAAATCAAGCGAGCCTCACCTTCTAAAGGCATCATTCAGATAGACGCTCGTGCGCCGGAGCAAGCTAGAGTGTACGCATTGGCAGGCGCAAGCACCATCTCCGTCCTTACCGAGCCGCACTGGTTCAAGGGCAGCATTGATGATCTACGCAACGTGAGGCAAGCTATTGATGGTATGCCAAACCGACCTGCTTTGCTACGAAAAGAATTTGTTTTCGATGAATATCAGATCCTCGAGGCGCGTCTAGCAGGTGCTGATACCGTCCTACTCATCGTGAAGATGCTCGATCGTGAGCTCTTGAACAGGCTCTACAAGTACTCGCAGTCGCTGGGTATGGAGCCGCTGGTAGAAGTCAATACACTCGAGGAGATGCGGATCGCGGTCGAGCTGGGATCGAAAGTGATTGGCGTGAATAACAGGAATCTGACAAGCTTCGAAGTCGACATGGACACCACAACACGACTCATGAAAATTGTGCCTAAAGAAACCATTCTCTGCGCTCTGAGCGGCATTGCCGGCCCCAAGGATGTGGAGCCCTACCAACAGAACGGTGTTGGCGCAGTTCTAGTTGGCGAAGCACTGATGCGAGCAAAGGATACTGCCAACTTCATCTCCGAGCTGCTCGGCGGCAGCGAGGCTGCCATTAAGTCCAGGCCTCAGAAGAAGCTCCTCGTCAAGATCTGCGGCACGCGAACACCCGAAGCTGCACAAGCGGCCATTGAAGCCGGTGCTGATCTGATTGGGATAATCATGGCCACAGGCAAACGGCGCTGTGTATCAAGTGAAACAGCTCGAAGTATCACGGACGTGGTGCGTAGAACACCGAAGACTGCCTTGGAAGTGACTGATGTCTCCGGAGAGGCTGGAGGGAAAGCGACGAGTTTCTTCGCACACACAGCACGCCATCACATCCAGCGAGCTGATCGTGCGCTATCAGTTGGTGTTTTCCTTGATCAGCCTTTGGAATACATTCTGGAGCAACAACGACTGGTTGACTTTGACATCATTCAACTTCATGGCTCCGAGCCGTTGGAGTGGGCACAACTCATACCTGTGCCCGTTCTGCACAAGTTCAAGCCTGGCGATGCTGGGTTGTCGAGTCGCGGTTACCACTCGCTTCCACTGCTTGACGCCGGTGCTGGCGAGGGGAAACAGCTTGACACATCATCAGTTCGTTCACTTCTAGAAGGTGATGCAGGACTGAGGGTGTTGTTTGCTGGCGGTCTGACATCGGAAAACTTGACCGAAGCAATCACTGGCCTTGGCGACGCGAAGGCGCAGATTGCCGCAGTCGATGTCAGCACCGGCGTTGAAACGAAAGGAGAACAAGATGTGGACAAAATTCGCTCGTTCATCAGGACAGCTAAAGAGATCGAGCTATAGAGATAAATTCTACAATTGAATCGAATCTTTCCAGATTTTCTGCTCTGTACTCTGGCGCAGCAGGCAAGAGGTCCGTCCCTCATGCTTCTCTCTTCTGTGCATGAGCCACGAAGTGAAAAATCTGTTCCTCATCACGGCCGTTTACCACAAGACGCCTCACGGTGTGGCTGCCTGGTAGCGTGCAGGTGAGCCGTTTGTTCTCATTCACTCAGTTGCACACCCGAAGTGGGGCCCATGTTGCCTATTGTCAAGTCGCCAGCAGCCCCCATCATCGCGACAATTACAACCAACTCTTCTTAGTTCTCAAAGTCTGAAAGACCTTTCCAACACCACCGCCACCCCGATACTGGACAACTTCCATCTCTCATTCTCGACTTGAGCCTTGACCCGATCGCTGCATCTCTCACAAGCGCAAAGTCACTGGCCGTTGCAAATAGCAAGATGCCGTACAAAGCGCTGAGAGGCTGTGTGATAGTCACAGCTGGCAGCGGCGAAAAAGATTGGAATACCAATCAGATCAGCCAGTGGATCAAAGAAGCATCTGGTACCTTCGAGCGCGCCGTCACGGAGTCCACGACTCACCTGGTCATCACTAAGAAACTGTGGGATACGGGTGGCATGATCGCACAAGAGGCGATTCGTCGCCAGCGGCAAGGACAGAACATAAGCATCGTCAGCTTTGACTGGCTCGATCACTGCTTCACAACCAAGTCCAAGAAGAAGGAGAAAGCGTACAAGTTCTTGGTCAAAGACTTGTCGGCCAGCGGCGGCAAAGATGATGCTGGGCCGCGTTCCCACACCGGTCTCCTTAAGGAGCTCTACCTTGAGAACACAGAACTTACGCCAGCCCAGCAGAAGCTCAACGAGAAAAAGCAGGCCATGGAAGAAGCATTAGCCAAGGAGCGCGCGGCCGAGAAGGAGGCCACGCGGCAGCAGCACCTAGACACGAGCCACAGTCTTACGGAGCTGGGGCAAATCTTCAAGAGAGGTGCTAAGAAGGCGAGCACGATTCTGTTGAACTGTAAGTCTGTTGAGCCGGCCTCATTCCGTGGTGTAGGGGCACTCCCTAATGACATTTTCTTGGCAGCGAACCATCACATCTACCAGGATGTAACTGGTTTCTACTACGACATTACCCTCACAAAAGTCGATACGGCACGTAACACGAACGAACGGTACAATCTCGTGGTAAGCAGTGCACCACTACACCCCGATAGATTCTGTCCCTTTCCGACTGACATTTCCTGACAACACAGTTACAGATCCTTGAGTCCAACGCCGTCCCCAATACCTATGCTTTCAGCACCTCATTCTCCGGTACGAAGATCGCACAGGTCACCAACGTCGTTGTGAACGTGGGCGCAAACTTCTCCACCGCGATGCGCGCATTTCGCAATTGCTTCAAAGAGAAGACTGGGGTCAACTGGAACGATCGTCTGAAAACACCCAAGGATCGGTAAGCGGCGGCCCAAGGTCCATAAGAGATGAGTGAGACCAGGCAAAGCTAATTCCTACATCTTGCAGATCCAGACATGACGAGCCAAGAAATCACATGGACAAGGTCGGGGGTTACGCCCGTGATCAGCTCGACGTCTCAAACGAAGCGGCAGATATTCGCTTCCAGAATTTCCAGTACTATCCTCCAAGTTATGGGGCTGTTGGCCAGCTCGACACCTCAGCACTTGAGACCAGCAATGAAGACCAGTCCACTCCACAAGCTGGCCTGCATGTGACGAGTGGCGAGAACGGCATCAATACCCCTGATGTCGCGAATGAGCACCATGCTGGTACTCCTGTGGAAGCAGTATTTGGACCGAGGGATGTCGAGAAGTTACACGAGGCACAGTCTGTCCCGAACGAGGTTGGCGAGACGCTGGATCCCATGACTGCGCCCTTTGACTTTGGAGAGGGCGTCGACTTTGAAGAAAGCGCCGAATTTGAGAGAACCGTCGCCCACGCCGATGAAGGCGACGTGGAGCCTACAGTGGAGCCCCAATACGGAGACGGAGCCGAATTCATGGACCTCTCCAGCTACTCTCTTCCGCCTCAGACTTCTGCTGAGCAGACCCACAGCGGGCTTGCAACCACACCACAAGTTTCGAGCCTCGGCAAGCGTAAGGATAGTGGAGTGGTAGACTCCGCCGAACATTCGAAGAAGCGCAAGATCGATGTGGAGTCCGGCGAGTACATCATCGAGAATACCTCGGAAGCTGGGGACCAAATTGGAGGTGACTGAGCCTTCGGAAGCAGTTCGTCCGCGACGTTGTGGCTGCTGCAGGTGCAGACCGGTATCGTGCAGGATGAGCGGCATGCGATGGACCTTCGAGAAGACTATAGAGGTGATCAGTGGTGAACACAGCACAAGATCTTATCGGAATCTGAGGTCTGGATGCAAAGCGTCTTGGGTCATAGTGCTCCGTGATATATGTACAGTAGCGGCCAGCGAGGAGCGAACGGAGCGCTCATTGTGTTGCTTAAGTATAGCATCACTGGTATCGACTTTGCCCGGGTGTCCTGTGGCATGCATCTAGTTCGATCGCTCTCCGTTCTTTTGTGCCCGAATCTCATCCATCTTCTTTACCCTCAACTTGAATTCCTCATATTGACACTTCTCATACGAATGCCGCTCGTCCTGCGGTTGCGTTAGCAAACCCTTCTCTACCCAAAGCCCCATGTGTCGAGCATCCGCACCTGACACCTCCAGTTTAGATAGTAGTTGTCGTATCGGCACTTGTTTAGTGGGATGAGAAGATGGGCGCACGAGTCACGGTAGGCCAGCGGTAGTTTGGCATCGCTCATTTCTTTTCGTGTGGCTTCTACACCAGGCGAGAACGTCAGTAGCTGCGCAACAGCGAGTGCACCATTGGTTCGTGGGAGGTGGTCGTACGGCGAGTGGGAGCGCCGTGGCCGAGGCCAACAGCTTCCTTGACGCTCTCGGCGCTGTCTTTTATCTGTTCTGCGACGGTCATGGCGGCAATGGGCGTGGGACACGGAGGAGAGTCGCGCGGAGGTGGTGGCAGTGGCCGGCGCGGTTGCAGGTGAGGTGCGCCAGCGTCTGCTGGGCGTGACAGAGACGGAAGGTCGGCCGAGCAGAAAGTCAGATCGCGTCCGGCCAGTCGCGTGTAGGACAGCGACAGAAACAGAGCTCCAGAAAGAGCTTCAACAGGACCACCACCGACAGCGCAGACACCATCTGATCGCTGGCCTGACCATTCACCCATACACGATGCACCAGTGGGGCCCGTCTCGCCGCCATCATTAGCTCACGCGCCGCAGCGACGAGCGCACCGCTACCACTCTCACTGCACCACTGCTGCAGATCGATGCCACCATGTCGACGGCAACCTCGTCGAGTTACTTCCCTCCCCTGGATCAATGTCTAGCCGGTGATACGACAGTAATTTCCTGGCGCACCGCGTATCGCGCCATTTGCGACGAAGTCACGGCTCTCGAAAACAGCCACCTGCAGCACTTTTTCACCGACGATGAGACGATAGCTCTTCTCAGTAATCCGATCAAGCCATATGCCGCTCCCAGCGCGCGGAGCGGAAGCGACTTTGACACCAAGACTGCGCCCATCAACGTTGCCCAGTCTCAACATGCCGACTACAAGCTGGACGAGATCAAAGCTGATGCGAAATGGCTGTCTAAGGAGCTGCAAATCGAGGAGATGGCTGCCCTGCGTCTGGCGGTGATTGAATGGCAAGAGCGAGCCGCAGATCAGCTGTTGAACACGGCATTCAATGGCCCAAGCGGACTGAACGGCCCCGCGAGCACTGCCTTGGTGAAAAGCACGATTGATCTATCAGCCTCGACGTCTGCATCTTCGCGACCAGCGTTGACATTTACGGATCAGGATGTGAGACGCCAACGGCTGTTGGATGTGTATCTGAGCGAGACCAACCACTTGCTGCGCCTCAGTGCAGATCTAGCCAACCGATGTGCTGTGAGCAAAAGCAATGTGCAGGGAGAGCCTACAGGCGCGTTTCGTCTGGACAATCCGCGCTCGTGGATCGATCGAGTTGCCGCCAAGGTCATGGAAATCATGTGCCCGAGTACTAGCAGAAACGAGGGCGAAGCATTCATCTCCACGTGCATCTCAAAGATTGAAAATGTGCTAGATCGAGGCGATGCGACCACAGTCTGGCCAAAAGTATTTGTTGACGATTCAAAAGCGTCGACCTACATCGACTCTTTGGCATGGGAGCTAACGAATACGTTACGACTTTTACTGGCTGCGTTGTACCAGTACGATGGGATTCCAAGCGCCTCAGCACTTCTAGCCTGGTTCACGCTCATGGAGAAGCATGTGTTTCTGCAAGGGGGAAAGAAGCTTCTTCCGCCAAACCTCGATGTGCTGCAGCTGCTGGTGTCAATAGTCTCTGTGGAGATAATGAAGCTTCAGCTGGCAGTCGGCGAAATTATGCAAGCAGCCGGCGTGGAAAATCTTGTGCTGGCTGGTAGCCACTACATCAACGATGAGGAATGTCTGAGGACTTTCAACCTCATCTTGTATAGAGTTGGTCTGCGTGGGGTCACCATCGCTGCGCCTGCGATTCTTGCTTGGAGCATCATCACTACTGTGATCCGAGACATAGCCCTTATCCATCGGGATGTGCGGGAATCTCGTGGTGAACCTGGATCCGACGATGCGGCAGATGCCCTTGCTCGCCGTGCTTCAAGACGTGGTTCGCGCAACGAGCTGTCATCCGCGTTCGAAAAGCTTTATTCCAAGCTCCAAAGTCCAGAGCTGGAGGGTGATCACAGAGATGACATTCCTCGCCATTTCTTGCTGTTTTCTGTCGATAAATCGCGGGTGTTCACCCTCATGACGGCTTTGAGCACAATGGCTGGCGCCACATACAGCTCCGATGCTGAATCGGGCACCGCGTTCATCTGCAAAGAGGCTCTGCTCGATCTCACAAGAGACGCTCTCCCGCTTGTGCAATATGATGCAGAAGTTCTGGACGCTATCTTGTCATGCATATCACCAGCAGATAACACTCGGATCGCAGAGCAACAGGCTGCTGTGCTTGCAGACAAGCTGCTAGCGGACCACGAGCAGCTCAGGCCCGCCATTCTCAACGAAGCCCTTGCACGTTTTCCGTACGAACTTTCGCCACTGCTGAAGCTTAGCATAGCACTCGCACGCGCGGAGAGTCGCCACCGACGGGAAGGCGATCTCCCTGAAATTGCGGAGATTCTACTTGACCTGCAGACTTTTACGCAAGAAGTGCCGCTGAACTTCAGAGAGTACGAGCTGACTGACGAGGCCGAGGATAGCAACACAATGAGATTGACTGATGCATTGCCTGTCATCTTGAAGCACAATGGGACGATGTTCGTTGGGGGCCCACACTTACTCACTGCTGGCGACGGCATCGACATGGACATACCCGAACACTTCGTTCCTACAGAAACTACGGGCACAATTGTCAAGGAACAGAAGCCCATGGTACTCATGCTCAATCACTCATACTCTGGCCTTGGTTACCTCAGTGCACTTTTATACACTTTCACGAAGGGAAGCGAAATGGCCCCCATTGCGCCGCGAGCAATGCTCGATCGCTTCGCCGCCGCCGATATTATTGCGCTCTTCACGTCCCTGCTCTCAGCCTGCCTCGGTCGTCAGAATGGAGCAGCAGCAGCTCAAGAGTTATTGGTGAGACTAAGCGAATCTCTGGGCGACAACCATGACATTGTGGCTGTTGTGACCGATGTCCTTGAAGCCGAACTTCTGGCACATCTCGAGCAAGTTGCCCAGGAGGGATCGTTGGAAGTCGTTGCCGCGGGTGCAGAGTTCCTTAATGCCATCATCAAAATCTCCCCTGAGCGTGGATGGTCGTTTCTGGCCAAAAGTAGCTTGCTGGGATTGGCGAGCGGAGCAATGTCACTCGTGGCGGTGGTGAATGGGACAGAGGTACAGCTCGGGCAATACCGCTTCCTCCAAGCATGTGTCGATATGCAATCGCTGCTGATAGAGGATGCCATCGCCGGTCTCGCGAAGCGGAACACCATACCTACGGAGACCGTCAAAGCGACGCGCTTCAACATGACAATCAATCGTGACTCGCCAGATACGACGCCTTCTCGAACTATGAGTGCAGTGTTGAATGCGTATCAGAAAATTCTTCTCGATGCACTTCAAAGCTTCCCGGTCTGGAGATGGAACAATGCGGAGCAACGCTGCCGCCTCACCACGACTTTGATCAGCTCCAATATGAAATTACTTCGCAGCACACATGGAATAGACGTGGCCAAAGACCCATCAAAACGGCTTACATACGTCCTCGCACCTGCTGCTGATGCTCTTATCAATGTGTGTGCCCCAAGGAGCGGTACTAGCGCATTGGCGAACACGATGAGCAAAATGCTTCACGATGGTCTCTCAGCCACGGATGATTCCGTACCAGTACAAAGCCGCCAGCTGCTTATCGAGCAAACACGGTCGATACTCAGTTTCCTTTCATCGATTCTGCGCATTGTGCAGGGAGGCACAGACCTTCTCAGCAAGCCCGTGGCTTCGGCAGAGCGGCAGGAAATCGCGAACAAAAGGTCGTATGAACTTGCGCACTCCATTTTGCAAAGCATGCCAGTATTCGCATCACTGCTAGCCAGCGACCACGCTTTCAAGGACCATGTGTTCATGCTCCTTGGTCAGGTCATCAAAGCTGTGGGGACAACCGAGACTGATCCGCCGTCCATACTCGCGCAGTTCGATACGGAAGCAGCGCAGTCGTTCCTTCAAGTGGTCACACAGCTTGACCGTCCACTGTGCGACCTCCAGGTCGAGCGTCGAGTGTGGGAGTTTCTTGCAGTGATCATGACCTCCAAGCAGCAGTGGTTTGCAATCTATCTTCTCACTGGCAAGCTACCGAAGAGTCGAGCACACCGACAGCACCAGGAAGAGCTCAAAGGCAAGCCCATATTGGCTTATGCCTTGAGTCAGCTTGCCTCCATCTCAGATCTGCCTCCCGAGCGCGCTGTAGGCATGCTGAAATTCATCTCTCTTGCCCAACAGACATGGGTGTGGGCAACCAACGAAGTCAGGACGCATACCGAATTCATCACAAACACACTAGCCTGGTTAGGCTCGCTTCGACCTGCTCCAAGAAATCCGACTCCTGACGCGGCCATCACCAGCGCCCGGGAGCATGAGATGGCAGCGCATCTTTGCGAGATACTTGCTATCAACCTCCATGCTGGCCTGGAAATTGGCGACAAGACCGTCCTGCGAGCTCTTGTCAGTAAACTGGACTTCTTGCGCGACCATGGCGCCAGCGTCAATGCTTGGAACAGGTCGCTCCACAAAAGTCTGGAAAGTAATTTGAAAAGAGCATTTCCGCAAAGTGATCTGTCCGATTTCAAGCGTACTACTGTCAATCCTGCGCCGTATGGCAGAAGCTACTTCTACGACCTCGACATAGCCACCACCATCTTTCGACACCATAGAGCATGGACTGGCGCTACCGCGGATCAAGGCTTTTCTGACGAATTTGGTCGCGCCAGTGCCAACTTGAGCCTACTTGACGCGCAGACGACTCTTTTGAGGAGTTGGAAGAGATTGGCTACAACGTTGTGTGACTGCGCCGAGCCAGACACACAGCTACAGATTGAACTCGCCAAAACAGCAGTGCAATGCTTAGCTGCCAACGCAGAGGCTCAAATTGAGCAGCCTGGCGCGGCGGATGTCATGCAAACTCGGATGGAACTTGCCTTCGTACTCGTGTCGAGACTCGTCTCGCTGAAAACCCAGCATGATTCCATGAAAGACCTCCTGCCGGCAGCTTGGGCGCTAGTCGCTGCATCTCCAGTCGACTACGATGTGGCAACGGATGCCGAAGACGCACGGTATTATCGACAATTGCTCCAGGTCCTCTACTTGACCATTCAGCCATACACCTATTCCAGCAAAGCAAGCACTCAGGGAGAGATGCACTATCTCGCGCCGCAGACTGCCTCGACGCTCGTAAACATTGTTGGCAAAGTCATCGCGCCCGGGTTTCGCGCACTCTGCGGTAATCTGCACACAGACATTTCACTCGCTCTTCCGGCGGACTTTGCGCTTCTGACTGCTCTGTTGCAAGCCATTCTTGCGGTACCCGGTATCAATTCCGTTCATACGATGCTGACAGACCTGATTGCTGGCTCGAATATTGTACGAGGTGCGTTGAGCTTGTATTCTTGGGCCGATCAACTGGTCGAGGAGGACACGCAAGACCCAGTCTACGGCGAAATCGCCGTCATGTTCCTCCTGGCGCTGTCTACTGTGCGCCCGATCGCAGAACACATGGCGCTGGATGGTGTGCTTGCACAACTCTCTTCCGCGAACCTATCAAACTACTTTCGCAAGCCAGGTGGAAAAGGTCCATTTGACGAGCCGTATCGGATTTTCATCATCTGGACAGAAGGATTTTTGCCGCTTTGCTTGAATTTGCTCGACTCAGTAGGTCCAGCCATTGCCGCGGAGATCTCAGCCTTCTTGAACAGCTTCCCAGAGCAACTACAGCGTGCCGAAAAGTCCCTCGTAAACGAGCCGCCATCACCGCGAAATCCACGGGCTGGTGCCGTGACGCTGAGCTTGGTCTCCGAAGCTCACAGCCTGTCCATGCTCTCAATAGTCTTGAGTTGCGATATTGCGAGAGGTGCTGCTGATGGCATCAACGCGGCGGATGTTCCTGAGCTCAACTATGATGCCCAAAATGTGAAGGCTCTCGTGGAGGGGCTCACACGAAGCAAGCGAAGTCTCATCGACAGGATTAGACCAGCTACACCTTTGGAGGAGAGATGGTTGGGTACACCCGCTGCAGGGAGTGCGGACAATTTGCTTTTGGCAAAGGTGCAAAAAGAAATGCATGGCATGTTGGCTTGTTTCGAGGATCAGGCTAGCGCTGGGTCTTGAGCAAAGGAAAGCTGAAGCATACGGTATTGGAGAAATGGGTGTTCTTGTGTTGACCTTTCAGCGAGGCGTTCAGGAAGAGGAAGCATTTGCGCGTGAGGATATTTCGATGGCATGTTGCATAGAACGAGTGCCGCCAGTCAGACATTCCGGGTCATCCTTGTGTAGCCCTGCTACCACAACTCCTCCAGATTTAGTCGTGTAATTGGCAAATCAACTCACTTACGCTGCCGAATTGTTGCACACCTCGAGCCATTGCTAAATAATCAAGAAATTATGACGAAAGTGTGAATGATGTATTTGATACGTATGGTATGCGATCGCTTGTTTGACCCCATACTGGCGAGAGTGGGTTGACACACTCCTGATCTATGCTTTTCATAACAGTTCGTAGCTCATCTACGCTTCAGAAATCCCCGTGAACGAGATGTCCAGCATCTTGCTCTAGTGGTAACACAATCCACTATTCTCAATTTTCCACACAGCAGCCAAGCCCTGCTTGACTTCACCCTCATCTGCTCCCGCGACACCGCCTCGTCTCTTGCTTAAAACACGGCGAGTCCATGCCTCGACCGCTTGCTCTCCCGTCTCGTTTCGAGCTTGACGCAGGAACGGGATGAGAGATGTGCCACCAGTGCCCTTTTCGGATTTGTCGTTCTCCTTGTTTCCGCCATCTTTGGGAGCAGGCTTAGGACGATGCGCAATATTGATCTTTTGCTTCTTTTGCTGGGCTTCGTCCTCGCTTGCTGCCTTTTTGGCTTCGGCACTTTTGATGATGATGTACCTGCTCACAATCTGAATGTGCTTGTCTCTGAAGGCGCTCAGCATGGCAACGCATGCATCGAAAGCGAGAGTCAGTTCCTGATCGTAACTATGCTCGTCCACAAAAGCTCGAATGTTGGCTACTCGTGTCACTGCTTCCAGGAATCTGGCGTGTGGTCCTGGCATATATCGGCGCATTTCATGAATGAAGTTCGACGCGGGCGCCTTGGACTTGCGCTCACTCTCTGGAATGTCCTCCTTGCGTACGCCGGTGGGCAGATGTTCCACGCCGAGCACAATGTCGAAGAACTGGATGATGCTCGATTGAGCGTTGCTACCGCCACTGTACTGCACGTAACGCTGCTTGTTGATCGGACCTCCATTGTCGAAGATCACACCATTCGGAAGTCCGGCTTCTTTCATATTCTTGCTGCCCGCTAAAAATGGTCGAATGCGATGATAGAAGACATGAGGGTCACAGTTGTCATACATACGAGAAAGCATAGCGCCGAGCTCGTCGAGACGTTCAGCGAATGCTTTAAGAGCTTCTGTGACTGCGCGTCTATCGCCGTTCCTGGCGAAGTCAATGGCGTGCAGCATGAGTGGCACAATCGGCCCGGCTTTGGCTTCGATTGCAACACTGATCAAGTAGAACCACTTCTCATCGAGGGACCCGGTGAAGGTATCAATGGTATCAAGATTTGCGAGCGTGTCCATGCGTTCTGCATCGAAAATTGGCTTCCAATTCCAGAGGACCAGCCCGGCGTATGTTGCGACTGGGGGCAGCTGCAACTTCTTGCAGATTTTCAAGAACGGGACTGTGACACACGGTGGTACGCGTTCAGACGGCACATCGCTGCCCCAGATGTACGCATGCGTGATAAACGCCAGAACGCTGTATGCGCGCTGCCATTGAGCGTCGCCGGCCAAACGCTCCGTCGATAGAATCGGCATCTTGTCCACAGTCTCACGCAGTCTCTTGCTCAAGATGAATCCCTGTAGATTCTTCATGATGTATTCCCAGGGCTCGTAGTAGGAATCTGGCAGGCGCTCGAGTGGCGCTTCTGTTGGGAGGAAGCCATTCTCTCGGGAGACGGCGTAGTCTTCAGGGTTGGGTATTGGAAACATGATGATTTGCACCAGACGCAGGCTTGCTACGTGATCATGTCAATTCGATATTGACGTCCTACGTTGCAAGCCCAGCCGTATTTGTATTCCGAGCGGTCGTCTATTCGTGGTGGGACCTTGCGCTTCCAGAATGATCGTTGTTTCACGAGGAACAGGTCCGCAGTTGCGGTTCGCGGGTTTTGAGAAGGTCTCAGGCAGTAGCGCGTGGAGGCAAGAGTGACTGTCTGTGGAAGGTGAAGGTCGTGGAGGGGCTGAGATCGAGGTTTAGTTGCGGGTAGTGGCAGAAATGAGGTGATGCGGGCGGCAGTCTAGATTTGGAGTCAGTGAGAAAGAGGCGAGTGCTAGTGCTTTCATTCGGCGCCGACGTCGGCTTGATGGCTATGTAATCGACTTTCAGGTTAGCGATGAGCTCACAACATGAGCTTGCGCTGCTCCCTACATGGCAGGCTGATGAGAAATGGTGTGTTTGGAGTGACGCCTCCGCAAGTCCGTGTGCTGCCGCTGCCCCTCCGACCGGATTCACGAAAGAAATCGTCTTCCTGACCACTTCACCTGGCGAAGCAAGTAGGAATTTCCCGCGGCCCCATGCACATAGCAGCATGAATTGAGTTTCTGCAGGTGTGGCAGATCATGATATTCGAGAAGATCATTGATCGCCACGCTGTTGTGCCTGGGTTGTTGCAAGGATTTGCTTGAAGCTGCGGGCGATGACGATCATATTCTGGGAACGCAATTATACGTACACATGCATCGTTGCACAGCACTTCATCTTAAGAGCCACAGGAGCGGTCATAGTCTGCGTTCCAATGTGTGCATGAACTCGGCAAGTTGCGTTGTGGTGGAGGTTCACTCACACGGCCCGATTAGGAAATAAAAGTGGGTCCATTTTGCCCGCAGTCTGAAATTTCTGACAGTCCTGGTCCTGGTACAGCAGCATCATTGCGGCAACGCAGCGTGCTTCAAAGTGTTCAGAGACGTTCGCTTGAAGCTGAGCGTTAAGTATTTGGTCTGCAAGCCCTTCATATTTACATTAGCTGGGTGTGCAGCTGACTTCGATATTATTGTAGCTATATTATGAGCCTGCAGGTCAGTTAGGACATCTCAACAGCTCGAAACGAGCTTGTTCTGAGGGTGAGATGGCCGAGTGGTTATGGCGTAAGTTGCTCTCAAAGTATCATCTTCAGCTTCGAAATTGACATCCTATCTCAGGTGTGACTCAAGCTACTAAGCTTCTTCGACCCAGTCGTTGAGTATTCTCATGGGCTCTGCCCGCGGGGGTTCGAATCCCCCTCTCATCATCGCTTTTTTGCACTCAAAAGAGAGCATAGCAGAAGAAATAATGGTGGTCGGATCATTTTTGGTCGAGATATGGCGTGGTGGAGTGAAAGTACCCGGTATATCGGCACCCCAACGTTCTCAGACAAACTCAGCGTTCTCTACTGCATTGTGGGCGGTTCTAGCTTTACGTTTTGACCTTTAAGAGGTGCCAGACCTTCAGGGTGCCCTTCGGGGTCAATATCATCCCGGGCGTGAAGTCTCTCAATTTCTTTATCCGCGACCCTTGAACCTGTGAGACGGCCCAAGACTCGCCTAGTAGCAACATTAGAATGACCTATCGATTCTTTGCATTATACCTCTATCTTCTCCGTTCAAAAAGCTAGCACTTCTGCCCTATTAATGGCAAGATCCAACCCCATCTATTGTTTGCTACGAGGCGCCATTCCAATAACACTTTCGATTACGAGCGAAGAAGGGCAACAGTGTTGTGCAAACATCAAACACCGCCTTTGAAATTCGATCTGCCATGCTCCTCGCCCAGCCTCCATATTTGCCTTTACTGACCATTCTTCTGGCTTTGTGCAGCCATGATCATGTGCAAAGCCCTCTCATAAGCCCACATAGTCACTGCACTAGACGGCGCCGCCTTCACCAGACTCACGGTCAGCCCTCTGTAAAGACCAATGGCGCCCTCTTTCCTCAGGATCATCCTAATTGTGTTGATGACACCCCTATCATAGACTGGCACTCTGCCTCCAACATACTTGCTTCGACTTGGCCCTTGCACCTGCAATCTTTTCCTCACAGTGTCCAGTGGGAAGACTGCGCTCTTGCTGAGCACGCTCGCCATCACCCCAGCCACTGCATCGCCAGAGCCAAAAGGCAGCTGTACAGCTGCAAGAGGCGGCTTGAGACCCTCATAGAGAGCAAAGAAGAGTCCCATATATGGCACGACCTGACCAACGCCAGCATTCAAGCCTTTGAAGAACCCAGCATATCCTTCGTAGCGCACAATATCGCGCACACTCCCAAGCAGCCCATCGTAGACTCTCTCGGTGCCTTGTGCAGCAAATCGAGTTCGCAGCAGGTCCAGAGGATATGTGGTGGTCGTGGCCGCAGTCCCTGCTACAGCACCACTGATGAAGCTCTTCGCAGAACCGGGAATGCTCACGCCCGACTGCTCTGCAACCTTATCCAAGAATTGTGATGTACTCCGATATGTCAAGAACTGCACAGCGCCATAGCTCAGGTATAGTCCCTCGGCTGGAATGTTGCCCTTCCAGAACCCCGTGATGCCTTCATGCTTCCAAATGTCGCGAACTACAATCGCAACTCCCGTGGGCGTCTGTGTTCGAAATGGCTGCGACAGAGGATCGGCGAGAGAGTGGTAATGCAGCTGCAACCTGATCTTGACTACATCCAGAGGTGCAATGCAGAAGCGTGAGATCAAGCCTGCTACGGCGCCGGCGAGGACGACTTGGATCCGCGTTCCCTGGGCCGTGTGAGCTTCTACACTGAAATCTGCAAGCTTGCGATCTTACCTCATCGCGGAGATGTTCTGCCGTCGACATCCATGTGTTTTCAATGTGCTCGATGGAGCATGTGCATTGCAGGAGGACAATGGTGACAGCTCGGCTATGCGCGCTTGGAAAGCCCGTGCGTTTGAGCCGCCTGAACCTCTCCCGCTCTGCTCGACCAATGCCCTTCCTGCCGACAAGCTACCACCATGACGTTGCCACTGTTCCGCCAGCTTGTGCGGACACAGCGGCCATCCGTCTCAATATGTTGGCTATCCAGTGCGAGTCTTCGCGGCTTCAGCACAGCTCCACGCATTCGCCAAGAACATGGAACTAACTCGGCCAAGCTATCGAGCGGACGAAATGGGAACATATTCAGGACAGTGAAGTTAGGTCCGCCTGATTCCGCTGAGAACCGACCGTCGATCGAATATGAGAAAAGACAGCCAAAAAGGAAGGATCAAGGTCGTATTCAGGATCGCCCAGACGTACCCCAAGGCGTCAGGATATCCCTCGATGGCGAAGATATACATATTGTGCCCGTGGCACTCAGAGACTTGTGTTCATGTCCGCAATGCGTTGACACTTCTACTAAGCAGAAGCTGTTCTACACTCCAGATATTCCAAGCACCATTGAAGCTAAAACGGTCGACCAGGATCCGAACAGCTTGAAAATCACTTGGACGAACGATGTCCCTGGTTACGACGATCAACATGTCACAGAGATCCCCATCGATTTCTTGCGCAGGATCCTCACAACCGGAAAGCCCGAAGTTGACCCTCCTGTTATTCCACGATCATTGTGGGACGCTGCCACTTTCGCGAAGGACACGGAGGACTTTGCATACGATGCGTACATGTCCGATGATACCGTTTTGCTGAAAGCCGTCAAGCAGCTTCACAGCCATGGCCTGCTGTTCTTGACCAATGTACCCGAGGATGAAGAGTCCGTTGTGCGCCTAGCTGAGCGTATAGGTCCGCTGAAGACAACGTTCTACGGCAAGACATGGGATGTCCGTTCAGTGCCAGACGCAAAGAACGTCGCCTACACTGCACAGAATCTGGGCTTCCACATGGATCTCATGTACATGGAGCAGCCACCACACCTCCAACTCCTCCACTGCATCCGCTCATCCTCCTCAGGCGGCGCCAGTCTCTTCTCCGACAGTTTCCAAACCGTACAAGAACTCGCAGAAAAGGACTACAATAGTTTCGACAGTTTGACGAATCTTGATGTACAATTCCACTATGACCATCCTGGTGACAACTACTATCATCAAACTCGCACAGTCATTGAACAGCAGCCCTTTCGTGGCCGAGGCAAAACTTTCTTGAACAGTTGGGCTGCTGCGCTCCGCAAACGCGATCTCCAACCGGGCATCACCTGGTTGCAAGAGTTGGACCTCATGGATTTTGTCTCCTCTGTAGCCTGGTCGCCACCGTTCCAAGGACCATTCCGCATCAGACCCGATCCCAGAAAGGGCGGTGATGCACTACCACTCGCGGTCGCAGCGGAGACTTACGCTGAGCACGTGCGGAAGTGGCACAAAGCTGCATCCCAATTCAACGCTTTGATTCATCGGGAAAGCCATATCCACGAACGGTTGATGAAGCCGGGCGAGTGTGTCATTTTCGATAATCGGAGAGTTTTGCATGCACGAAGGGCATTTGATGTGGGTGATGTGGGCAAGGAGAGGTGGTTGAAGGGGGGTTACATTGACAAAGATCCATACTTGAGCAAGCTGAGGATTTTGCAGCAAAAGTATGATGTTTAGGCAGAGGTCTGAGGGAATGTTGCCCAGATGAAAAGCGCTATGACCGGGAATTTTGTGCATATTCGGTGCGCTGGTGAAACAACAGGAGCACGAGAGGCTGGAGTACGTGCGAAGCACAGTGAAAAGGACGAGACTTGTGTTCATCGTGAGCATCACCACGCACAGCGAGGCATGGAGTATAAATCCTGAATGTACAACTCAAACGATCTAAATCCATGCTCAATTTACGCTATCGATCCCTAATATCCAAGAAGTAAGCAATCTATAGCTATTTTGACCAATGAATAATATACTGCACTGCAGTGTTTCGTTGCTGCCATCACCGCGCGTAGATCATGCCCCTACGCTCTAAACAACTTCAATATTGTCGTCTCAAATCTGATATGTCTCTGTGTCAAATGTTTTGGCAACTCACGACCTGATTTGAACGTCCGAAACGATGGAGTCCACATCAAGCTCCGCAGTTGAATGTGGATGGCGTTCTGGATGTTTCATTCAGAAATTGAATGCATGCAGCGGAAGCGGCAGCGACACCACCCTTGCTGAACATCACGATGGTACATGAATTTTGAATCTGATCTGTCTGAATTGATGAACGTTCAAGTATACTGGTCATCAATTTTACTATTATGTACACGCTTTCATCTGTTGATCATAATCTATGTCGCATGAACGCTACAAGATAAGTCTGCCGTCCAACCGGCCAAGGTATTCTATACTCAAAAACATGCTGATCAAGACTTATTTCTTCAGATCCTGATTCAGCTCCTCATTGCCCTTCTCTTCTATTATCGGATGCGTGGTACCATTTCCGTTGACTTGCTTCGCAGCTGACTTTCCTCTCGTTCTCTCGAAGAAAGTGCTGACTTCGCTGGACCAGTCATCATCATCAACCTCATCTTGTGCACCCTCCTTTTCTGCGATTCGTCGCGCCATGGCTGCTTCCCAGTCTGCACGCATCTCCTCCACTCGCTGCTTGTAGTCTTCCTCAGCATCGTAATACTTGCCAACGCCCCACATGCGCTCCCATAAGGACAGGTGCTGAGGATGAATGGCAACTCCGTGATATTCGTTCTCGCGCCCAGCACGAATGAAAGCCCAGCGTCTCTCTTGCTCCTTCAGATCGAGACCAGTGGTGTCTGGCAGGAAGATCCAAGTGATGAGTGCACCTGCAAGACCGAACCAAGGAACAACATAAAATCGTGTTGGCACATCGATGTAGTTGTAGAGAATAGCTGCAGTGAGTGCGCCTAGCTTGCCAACTGCTGCACTGAAGCCATGAGCAGACGCGCGGACCGGAGTTGGGAAAACCTCAGCGGCAACCAAGAAGGTGACGGAGTTAGGGCCGAACTGGTTGAAGAATGACGACAAAAAGTACATTGCCATGAAGGCGTGAACTCCAGCGCCTTTAGCGTAGTACTCATAGTCGAATGCTGGAATGATGAAGCAGATGAAGTCGCCCGCAAAACCGACGATCTGCATCCACTTGCGGCCATAGTTCTTGTTGTCGATCAAGAAGGAAGCGAGGTAGTAGCCAACGAGGGAGACACCAATGTTGAGCAGATTCCAGAGCCAGTTCGTCATGACGGAAGTCGTTTGGCCTGATAAGGTTGCGATGAATTCGGCTTGGAAGAGCTTGTTGCCGTAGAAGAAGACATCGTTGGCATACCAAGCGGCGGAAGTTGCGAAAACACGCCCTCCAAAGTAGGTGAAAGTGTAGCCGAGAGATTTGACATCGTAGCCAGTGACAGAGCCCTTCTTCTTTGCTTGCTGAAGAACCTTTGACGCGGATCTCATCTTGTAGGTACGGTAATACACGAGCCAGAGCGTTCCAACGGCAGGGATTGCGAACGAGACGCGGTAGGTCCATTGTACGAGCGTCTTGTTGTATGGTGCTCCACTCTTACCGCCGTGAAAGATGAGCAAGAGAAGAATCAAAATGACTTGATTGAACCATTGGCCCCAACCTTGCATCAAAAAGGCAGACGTGACCTTGCGTCCGCGATGAAGACGATCGTCCCGTGTGGAGATCTTGCCGGCTCCAACAGCATTTTCCATTCCAGAAGTTGCGGTCATCGGGTATTCTCCTCCAACACCAATGCCGTAGAAGAACAGGGACCAGACGTAGCAGATGACCCAGCCATTGAGTGTAGTTCCCCAGGAGGCTGTCAACATGATGAGACCGAGAAACATGATGACTGCATCCTGGATGAGACCCCATCGGCGGCCGATCCAGTCACCCAGAACACCGACCAGAATCTGGCCTACGATAATTCCAACGATCTCCAGATAGTCGACAGACTGCACCCATGTCTTTGTGCATACGGTGTTGCTCTTCCAGCAGTCAGGAAAGGCGGCCTGAAAAAGAGGCTTGACGTTTCCAATGGAGAAGAGGACGTATCTTTGTAACTGATTAGCTTGAGAGCAGAGCCGAGCAAATGTCACAACTCACCCCTCCAAGAGAAGACCCATGCCGGGGATCACCATATTTCTAAAGTAGTAACCGACAGGACTCAGAGGATCGGCCTTCATCATGCGGCCAATGCTCTGCAATTCACTCTTGGCCTCTGCGGAATCAACCTTGTTGACGAACTTGAGCCGCTGACCGATCTTCATGTCGGCCCAGTAAGTGCCGTTCTCGTCATAGCTGTCGTCGGGAAGGAGGAGAGATCGAAACACTTCTGACTCGTTGGCCTTCATGTCTCCCAGGTCGGCAGTTGCCACGTGCTGGCCGCCCATGTTGGGCCCATGAGGTGCGGCAATGCCATAGTCTCGCATCGATGAGTCGCCCATGGCTGGCGATATGGCAGGAGCTTGGCGACAAGAGGCGTTAACAGAGAGCAGTTGTTTTGTGGCCGCGGACAAGCTCCTATAAGTATGTTAAGCTTTGCGCCTGGGCGCCGTCCCGTGCTTGTGGGCGATAGACTGGGCACTGTGTCCGGCGGCGTGGGATTCAGAAAGGATTCGAGGTGAGGATGGCAGGCACGTTGCAGTGCTGTCAGCTCTGTATGGCTGCGCCGGTGATCCTCGGAAGCAGCGGCAGGACAGGCTATGTGTGTGTGTTGGGTGGCACTGGTCTCGGAGGGATGCTGGCTCGCAGAGATGGGCTCGAGGGAAGGCGCGACGGTCGACACTCGGCAGTCGCCAAATGAAGGGCCAGCGCCGGAGGAAAGATGAGGCAAGAGCGCAGTGGGCGACGAGGAGGGTGTGACGGTAGTGATGAGCAGCGCGCACTTGGCACAGATTGACTTCGCCGGTTGAGATTGAACTCTATTCCCGCAGCCCGAGTCCACTTCGCAGCGGAGGCGTGGGACGGTGGCAGCGTGCAGTAGCAGTCGCAGTGGGCGTGAAATTTCTTCGCTGCCCGCAGTGGCTCTGGACGCTCTTCAGCAGAGCGGAGTGTCCACTGCAAGGTCTGCGCGTGCCGATGGCCGAGCGCCGCCAGGGAAGACTGGCGCTCGTCCATCCAAGCTCGCCCAGCATCAGCGAACCAGGCGTGGCATCTGGAAACAAGCAGCCGCCGCGGCGTGGCATTGCAGGGGCTTGGCTTGTATCTGATGCCGCGCACATGGCCGCGCCGCCTCATCATCGTCTTCGGCAGCGCAGCAGACATCGCCGACGACGTGCTGATCGCAGAGAGAGACATGTCTTCAGATGAAGTCTGGTCAGCCAATCAGAGCTCCGAACGCGCCCACGTTCTGGAGGACTGGACAATAGACGTCTGTGTGCGGCAGCGTCCGCCCCGAAAAAGCGGCCTTCCTCCACTTCTAATTGGGCGGATCTCGCCGATGCTTCGTGCGAGCCAACGCGGTGCACAGCTCTCTGCTGTATCTACGTGGATCTTGGATATTCGCTTGCCCTCACGGACAGGCAGTGGCCAGACCAAGCTTTACGCCTGCTGGCTTGGCGGACGCCTCTTTTCTCGAGTCTAGAGCTTGGATGAGCTTGGGGTCAGCATTGCTCGACGACATGCCACTACCTGGCGAGCTGCCAGATGCGTCCCCGAGTAACTCATCAAGGCTGCAAAGCATGAACTCAACATGCTCTCTTCTCAGTTCGTGAACACGAGAGAATAGCATGCAGCGTGCCGAATCGATTGACCACATGAGACGAGGTTCACTTCTCCCGAACCTCTCGCGCTAGCTGACGGCAACAGAGCCTCATTAGCAATGTCCCAGAAGGGCATGAGGCCACGCCATCGCTGGCAGGGCTGCAGCAATAAGCTTTTGCGGTTGTTCATATTTCCCGAAATAGCTATGTCCGGCGTCTTCACCACAGCCGAATTCGACACGAGCAGCTTGCAAAAGACTTGTTGCTAGACCTATGCTGCATGCGTACGGCATCGCCCAATTATGAAGACGAAGCCCAGCGTGCGTTCCAAACGGTGAGAGTAGGGCACGAAACCCGCCTGGATTGTTGATATATCGAACATGCGAGCAGCAAACATTGCCATTCGCATCCTCAACATGATCACGCACATGACGTTCAAGTATCAGAACTGAGCCTATGATATCGGATATCCCAACGAGCAAGCTCATTTCAAGCTCTCATACGTGAGGCGCCATCCAGTACGATGAAAACATTGTCGAACAGGACACCACCAACGAGCAGTGAAGGAGACCAATAAATCTGCGGCACGATGGCAGCCAGTCCCTTTGTGTCGCTCAGATACAACGAAATTGACCCTGATCTGGATGAAACATGCGTGACGTGGAGGTGCCGATCCATCACCACATTTCTCACAACCTGAAACGCGAATAGTGAAATTCATCAAATGGTCTTTCGCCTTTCATTGTCATCATCGACTGTATGTTCTCTGTGGTATCTATACGCTAGGGAAAGACACGATGCAGGTCATTACCATCCCATGGGCGACCAGCCCTGATGCGCCGTGCCCAAAACTTTCAAATGTACTCGAGTGCCTCCTGATTTAGGCCTCCACGCTTTCAATTCAATGGTGATTGTAAGTTACAAAGTGCTTTTGATCCATCGTCGCAGCAGTGAGTCCTCTATGCGAGGAAAGCAACGACGGCACCGAAGAGAGCGGCGACACCACCGCTGACCTGGAGTGCGCTGGCAGCACCAGTGGCAGTGGCTGGAGAGGAGGTCGAAGCACCACCACCGACAGCACCGGCCTCTGTTGATGAAGCGCCAACAACGGATGTGATGGTTGCGGCCGAGGTGGCAGTGAGGAGAGTGCTGTTTCCGCCGGCGACGGGGTATGGGGCGCTCTCGACTGGTGGAGTGTATGCAGCTGGAGTGGTAGCCACGACAGGAGTGGTAGCTTCGACGGAGGTTGCTGGGACTGGGACAATGACCGAAGACGACGAGCCGTAGCCAGCTGGAGCAGAGGACTCGACTGGAGCAGCCTCCGAAGAGTAAGCTGGTGGTGCTGGGGCCTCAGATGTGGCGGCGACTGGGGTAGTCTCTGCGGATGGGATGCCGTAGCCAGCTGGAGCGGTGGCCTCGGCGCTGCTCACTGCTGGAGTGTAGGCGACTGGGGCGGTAGGAGCTCTGAGTAATCGTCAGTACATCGGCGCGGTCGAAGCACAGGTTAGGTTGTGAGTCTCACTGAATCTGACCATCTGCGATCTGCGAAACAACGTAGCCGCTCGGCTGGGTATCGTCGTTGAAGTTGCTTCCATCGTCGACCGATGCGAAGGTGGTGCCAGCGGCGGCGAGAACGGCGATGACGGAGTAACGCATTTTGATGTTGTTGAGTTGTTGGTGATTACGTGATTAAGTCGTCCGTGAGAAGTGGTGTATTGGAGAGAGAAAGCTGGTGCTTATAGCGACTGTGAGTGTGCAAATGCAGCGAACGAAGGATGAGAGTTGTAAGTGAAGGTGGTTGTCGTTGGAATGGAAGAGTCGTGCTTTTGTGCGTGGTTAGCAGCAGCATGTTCGAGACGTGCGACGCCAGGAGAACGGCTAGCTTGAAACAAAGTGGGTCAATGTGGCGCTCCGGCATCATGTTCGCGTAGCCGCGACTCTGCCGTGCTTTCAGGAACAGGAAAACATCGACGCTTTTTGGCTTTCCGCGACGACTCTCAAGCACATGCAAGCTTCTCTCACATTCTCTGATCGTCAGCGATCGCGCCTTGTCGCGACGCAACGCGTACGCATTCCAGCGCTTTCTGGACGGCGCTCGCCAGTCTGTTCCGGCGCACAAGTGAAAGCCTCACGTCGTAAGGCGATCGGTTGGCGTCCGGCGTGGAGGAGTGGGCCGGATCTATGCTTAGCCCACAGGGGTTGCGTATAGTAACCCACAACCCAAGAACTTGATTCGAGGCCTTTCGCCTGCCACGCAATGCCGTCCCAACGTTGGGTGATTCGCGACCGGCCTTTTAGCCTGCTGTGGCACGTTGAACGGGATGGCAGAGCACGAATCACACAGAGCCCTACCACATAACAGCATCTTCGCTCCCGATGGCGCATTGTATTCCGGCAGCACAGCGCTGATCTCCTCAGCAACCATTGTAGTCGCAGGGCTTCATGTCGCTCGCCAAGATGCCGTACTTGGCCAATATGTCGCAAATTGAGGCCTGGTGCGAGCTAAAGTGCGTTGTGATTTCGGGCTGTGCTCATCAGACGTGTCCAAGGCGCACGAAGCGAAGATCTCTTCCACGAAGGTCAAGCAATTTCTCTCGCGATCATGGCGAGACTGAGGAGTGCCACGGAGAGGCTTCTGAAGGTGTCATTTGTACTTATTAAAGACATTGCATTCTTCTGATCTCGAAGCGGCCTTGTCGAAGGTGTCCAGTCAGTAAAGCTCTCACGCCGGCTTTACGCATTGGTGGCCGGGAGTCGCGGAATGGTCGTGGTGAGATGAGCGCCAAATATTGAGCATCGACGAGAGCTCTCAGAATAGCTGAAGCCGGATGGCAAGCAGCATAATACAGGTGGCTGTGGATCTTGGTTACCACGGCGAGACGCAGCCTTCAGGAGCCTGCGGTGCCTGCGTCTGCCGTGTCTCGTCGCGTGAGCGGCATCTTCCTTGACAGCCCACACCCCGATGCACGGCATTGCGCGTAGTGTGGTGATTGTATACAAACACTCCCGCTCTCCACATTCGTTCGGGGTCGTGGCTCCATCAACGCGTCGCACAGCTGGCGTGGCAGGCGCGTACACGCGCGGCGCTGTCTCGACCTGGGCAGCGGCTCCGTTCGGCGCGAAGACGCTGCCATCGGAGCTCTTCGGCGGCCATGGCGAGCTGGTGGGAGTATTCCGTTTTCAGGCCTCTTGGATGGGAACACCTTCTGCGGACGATGGTTGCTGTTCAAGAGGTGCAGTCGCTCCCTCAGACAACGTTGCCGTGAGTACGAGATGACGGGCCACTCCTTCCCGAGACACTTGTGGCTGCCTGGCCTCGGCTCTCAGCATCGTCGCAGCGCAATCACGAATGTATACCACTGACAACACACGTAGCACAGATAACCACGCCGCACCCATTTCGGAGATCGAACACACGACATCATCGATTTCATCCTGGTTACTACGATTGTCATCATGGTTGTCGCATCCACGGATGTCCAGGCTTTTTATAATGGCAGGAATGCTACACGCGATAGCAGGCCGCCATGTCACGACCCGCGTGAGTATGAAGGAGATGCTGTCGGGCATACCACACTGCAATCAGCGAACGAGCACAACGTATAGACCGGAAATCACGCACTTCGCGACCATTTCATCCGTTCACACGTTCTAACGCATTGCTCGCTTCCCTCCCATTCGAAGGAATTCAGTGGTGATGCAGGACACGCCTTCAGCATTTTGCGGCTAGGGCCATCTTCGCTCCGAAATGCCGAGCTCTCCATGAAGGCTCGTATGAAGAGGGTAACTATCGTCATGTGTGCCCTGATGATCTGCCTTTGGAGCCTGCAACATGAGAACGGCTCCACATCATGGCCTTTCATCCCGCAATCCCCGCATGGCCCTCCGCATTCGACGGAGAGCACTAGCAGCGAGCCTGGTCATCACTGCGCCGAATCTCGTGTATGGCCTATAAATGTGTCCGTCGTGTAAGAATGTCGAAATCAAGCTGGCCAAGCCATTTCTTGTCAATCCGCCATGGCACCAAACCGGCTCCTGAAGCTTGTCACAACATCTTTGTCGTGGTCAGTCATAGGACATGCGTTGAACACTGATGATCAGACTGGTTCCTCTGTCGATTACGGGACCTTTGAAGATCCTTCATCCAACGTCCGGCCTCGCTTCAGATATTGGATTCCAGATGCCTCGGTGGATCTGGACATCGTGGCTGATGACTTGCGCAAAGTGAAAGATGTCGGTATGGGAGGAGTTGAGCTGCTTGGCTACTACTTATATGGCAATTACCCGCAGCAGATCGAAGAAGGCGGCCCAGTGCCTGTCGACTGGACACAATACGGATGGGGCACTCCAGCATGGAAGAACTTGACGGATGCCGCTCTTCGAGCAACGAAAAGTTTAGGATTGATAATGGACTTCACCATTGGCCCTAACCAAGGCGCCGGTGTTCCTGCCGAGCCAGACGACGAGGGCATCATGTGGCAATTGCTTCCATTCAACACAACTGTTCCAGTCGGCGGCACGTTTGACGGTGTTCTGCCAGGATGGGGCTCAGGCCAGTTTGTACATTTTCCCCTTCGTCACTGAACACGAGACCAGACTGACGTCGACATATAGGTATCTGCATCGACCGGGCTTGTTACTTCCAAGACGAATGCAACGTGGTATGCTGCACCTGCGTGGCAGGGTCAGCAGTACAATGGCACCCGTCAAATCCTTGCCGACGCTTCGCTAGCAGACGTCACGCAAATGGTTGACTCAACGACTGGCCGTCTGCAACTCTCCTTGCCCAACGATGTAGAGGGTACTGGATATCAGATCTTCGCGTATTACCAAACCCGCTCGACCTATCTGGAGCAAGCCTCGCCCATCGACTTGAACACCAACGTGCCACAGTCGCCAGTAACGACTTACGTGCAGAATGGCTCCAGAGTGGTTGATCACTTCTCAGCCAAGGGTGCCAAGCTGATCACTGACTTCTGGGAGCAACACCTGCTCGATGGTGACACCCGAGATTTGATCAGAGAAGTGGGAAACTTCGCCTGGGAAGACAGCATGGAGATTGGAGCAGGCACTATCGCCTGGTGGACGCCAGGATTGCTGGATTCATTTCGCTCCAATCGCGGCTACGACTTGAACAAGTACCTCCCTTTGATCTTTTCCTTCAACACTGAGGCTAACGGGCCCCTTGCCTCTCCGGACCGCTTCTACACCGACGGCGATGATCAAGGTCAATCGTATGTGAACGATTACTGGCAGACCTTGACCGACCTCAATCGTGACTATCTCGACATCTTGAGGGACTGGTCGCAGGAGACTTTGCAGTCACAATTCTCCGCCCAAGTATCCTACAACCTACCCATGGATATGCTCGCCAACATCCCGTCTGTCAATGCGCCTGAGTGCGAATCTTTGGGCTTCGATCATGTTATTGATGCGTATCGTCAATTCTCGGGACCGGCGAACTGTGAGTATCATGCTTAGACGACAGTTGATCTCGCTGATACTTTCTTCAGTGGCTGGAATGCGCATCATCTCCTCTGAACTAGGCGCCCAACGCCAAGAAGTCTATTCTCAGACTCTCCCGGTAAGTGAACTTACTAGAAGTCATAGGTCTTGCCCTCGACCATGGCTAGATTTCCAGAGGAGTCTGCTATCTGATATATATGCTTATCATCTGCCTTGCACGTTTAGGAATTGATCTGGGACACAAAACGATCTGTCGTTGGGGGTGTGAACAACTTCATCTACCACGGAATGCCCTACGCCGGCAATTATCCAAACACAACGTGGCCAGGCTATACGACTTTCAGCTACCGCTTCAGCAACATGCACGGTCCACGGCAGCCTTACTGGAACCACCAGAAAGAATTCATGGATTGGACTGCTCGGACTCAATGGATCGCACAATCTGGAACACCCAAGATCGATCTGGCTTTCTGGCTCAAGAGGAACGAGTACTTCGACGTGCCTTCAGTTTATGATCCGAATGACTTACAAGATGCTGGGTATAGCTACGAGTACTTGAGTCCTGATAATTTCATGCTACCGGATGCGGAAGTGGTCGATGGCGTGTTCGCTCCAGAGCGACAGGCTTTCAAGGCACTCATCTTGAGAGGAAACGATACGCTTACTGTCTCTGGAGTGCAGAATCTTGTTGCTTATGCTCAGGCCGGCCTGCCCATCATCTTCTCTGGAGGCATCCCGCAGAATTTGACCGGGTATAATGCGACCGGCACCGAATACGTGCGATCAGCACTCTCTACTATTGTGAGCCTGGGAAATGTTCACGTGGTTCCGTACGACAACCTCGCATCTTCCCTGCAGGAGCTAGGCATCACACCTCGCACGCGGGTCCACTCAGAACGAGTGTGGAATACATATTGGCGCGAAGACTCAAACGTGAACGTTACGTATGTTTATATTTACAACGATGCTTGGGACTCAGAGCTTGGTGGTGGAGCCTCGAAAGGCAGCATTACTTTTGAAGCTACAGGTGTACCATACGATTATGATGCTTGGACTGGAGACGTGAAGGCCATCCCAGCCTACCAGCAGAGCGCTACGACAACAACTATCGAGTTCAGTCTGGCCGGCAATCAGACGACTATAATCGGCTTCCACCACAACGAAACAGTGGCAACCGGGACGAGAATGCTCTCTGCGCCACCAGAGGTCTATGGCGCAACTCCGGATGAAACTGGGCACCTAGTCCTGGCAGCCGGCAATGCAACACAGCCTGTGCTCCTTTCCAATGGCACAATGCTGTCATTGCCGATTCCCGCCGCGCCCGTCCAGCTCGATGAATGGTCCTTGATCGTCGAATCCTGGGCGCCTCCACAAAATCTGGAGGAAGACCAAACAAAACCGTCTCTCTCCAATTCCACGTACAACGTGACCAGACTAGAGCCTTGGGGCACAATCTCCGAGACCCTTCGCAATGTCTCCGGCCGTGGTATCTACACAACGACCTTCGAGTGGCCGCCTTCGAATGGAAGCGCAGATGGTGCAATTTTGAATCTGGGCGCGATCGTGAACACTGCCAAAGCGGAGATCAATGGACAATCGCTCCCACCCCTTGATCCAACAGACGCGAGAGCCGACTTGGGTGAATACCTGGTTGATGGCACCAACACGCTCGAAGTGGTTGTTACCACCACCCTGGGAAATGTTCTTCGAACCGTTTACGAACAGGTCAAATCCAGTGGGACCTTGTGGCTCGGACCTGTACCATTCGAGCAGGATTATGGGCTGGTCTCGAACGTGACCATCGTGCCCTATCTGAGGACGGTTGTAGCTCTGTAGATTACTGTACTCGGTAGAGCAAATATTCGGCATCGGCAGTTCGCGTTACGCTCCTCAACCCTCGCTGCCAGCCTCTAGCATCGTAGAAGTATACGTTCCACGCATGTGATAATGGCACAGTTAGCTTCCGGTGTGTCTTTCGCGTACACCGTGACTGCTCGTCCGATCGCCAGTGCACTTAGCAAGATGGATCATTTTCGAGGTGCTTGTTGTGCTGATGGCCCGCAAATTTTTGGCCCAGATTGTTCGTTGCTTTCCAGCTAACACGGGCTGTACATGAGTCGTGGCTCAATGGTGATTGACTCCGCCTCCTACACCCTTCTCCCAACCATGTATGCTCTCCTCAATATTCATCCAATACCTCAACTTCACAGCCTCTTTCGCCGCAACGTCAAAGTCAGCGTTTGCAAACGCATCCTCCAAAACCTGCACGCTATCTGCAATGCGCGCGTTGTTCTCTTCTCGAATACTCGCTAAATCCTCCTCATTCTCAACCTCTTCGACAGCTTCCCTCGCTTCCATGACTTCCATCAATAGCTCTGCGTCTCCGCCGCCTGCAGCATCCATTTTTGCGCTCTCGTCTTCCACATCGATGCCTTGTTGTGCAAGCAGGTACTGCGCGCGACGCAAAGGGTCCTGTAGAGTCTTGTATGCTTCATTGATCCTTGCGGACAGCGCTTCGGCATGTGACTTGCGCTCAGCTGGAGCGAGGTCTGGATGAGCTTTGGCTTGCAGCTGGAGGAACTCTTTCCGCAGCTGGCGCAAGTCAGGAGTGAAGGAGGCTTTGGGAGGAGGTCCCGATGGGAAGGTCTGCGGGAAGAAGTCGTAATGTGTCTGCGGTGTTTGAGGGATGGGTCGTTCGGTCGTGTTATCGCTGGAGCGGAGGCGAGACGCGGCGAAGGAGCGATGTTGCGTGCCATTGACGGCGGCTCTGCATGTTTTGCATACGAATGGCTGTCGGGCAACGTGTTGCCCTCTAAGTGCGACCGTGCCAGCGGCCTTTTGTAGCCGTGTTCTCAATTGTGTGCGCATGTTGATGCAGCTTGATGATGCTGATGAGTGGAAGCTCTCTACAACTTTTTGGGGACGTGAACCGAGATCGGCTTGCCTCACTTCCTTACGTCACCACCTCGATCACATGAAAACACAAGTGAAGTCTAATAACACAGGCATTTGCCTGATATCGAATACTGTGGACTTTCCAATGATGTCTGTCTGCCTACAGTATATCTCTGCGCGGACTTCGCAGTGCTCACCTTTGCCGCCCTCCGCATCTCCTCGCTTACATGCTGCGCATTCCCCGAGCCATGAATGCGACCAGTCACACTCTCAAGCAGTTCTCGCCTTCCACAGCATCGTGCGTGTAACAAGCTGCTGGACATCACAATGCTACTGTGAAAGTCCGTTTGCCAGCTGGTCCGGTGGCAAGAGCTTCTCCGGACCAAACGACATGGGCAGGAGCTGCTCGAGCGTCATGACCGTCGACTTTCCATCCTTGTCATACATGAGAATCGGCACACTGGTCTATGAAGACGCTTCTGTCAGCAGATGGACACGATCATGTTCTGATATGTTACTCAACATACCTCGCAAAACTCCCGGATGAACTGGCGGCACATGCCGCATGGGCTTGCCGGTGGGCTGATGTCTGTTGCAACAGCTATTGCTCGGATATCACCTTGCTTCGCGCCCTAATGTCGTTCAGTGTCATGAAAGCAGAACCCGGGTTTGCTTATCTTACATGTTGGACGACTGCAGTACCAATTGCCGTTCGTTCGGCACAGGTGCCAACGGGATATGACGCATTTTCGACATTTGCTCCCAGGACGACTTCACCGCTCTTCAGCAGCAACGCAGCTCCTACTCTGAAGTGCGAATATGGGCCTAATTCGCAGCATGAGTATTGAATATCATAGTCGCCAAGCAGTGCAGGGTGAACGCACAATATGCCCTTCCTTTTGCCTCAATGCACGCCTCGGACAACTTCTGGACTTCCGACTGCGACAGTCCGTGAATCAGTGCGGTATCATGGCGAGAATGTCCTCGTTGGAAATCAGACGAATCGGACATGGTGGAGGAAAGGGAAGAGAGGGAAGGTTTATCTTAGCGAGCTTCTCATCAAGGTTGACCGGCTGGAGAACATGTGTCCCGCTGGCCGCACATTGGAGACCGTCCGTGGCATGACAAAGCGACCAAGGCTACTGGCACGTTTCTGCTCACCGCCATAGCAACGGCGCCGAAAACACGAGCGCGACGTGCGAACTTCACGCGATTGTCTGCTCTTACATCCAACCTTCTAGAGCAGAGAAGATACTCGGGCAAGTGCTCGTTGCTGAGCTGCTGTGGCTGCATGGTCACACAAATGCAGGCTTATCCTTATCAGTAGCAGTGCTGCTTCTTTCTCCGTGGAGGTCAATGTAGGTTGCATCACTGATACGATGCGGTCCTGACGAGATTGTCAAAATGCACTTACTCGCAGGTCTGAGTATGCCGCTCCATATCGTTACCTCGCGCAAGGTTGCTCCTTCTCCGCCGAACAGAGCAAGAGACTACGAACCATGGCCTCTGTAAACGGACACTTCGATACCACGAATGACTCCTTCTCACCTTACCGATCCGACGGGAAGCTCTATGGCTTCGTCTGCATTGTAACAGGCGCGACGCAGCCAGTAGGGAGGGCAATCGTGACAGAATTGGCAGCACACGGCGCAGCATGCATCTATGCCTGCTCATCCACACCACAAGATGATATCGGGGCACTGGAGCAAGAAGTGAACAAGATGCACCCAAACACAAAAGTCATTGGATACCCGTTTAAGCTCGCAGACGAGCAGGACACTTTGGGGCTGATTGACGACGTGCTCAACTCTTGGGGAAGACTTGATATCTACATTACGTCCTCTGGATTGCTTGGTCCTGCGTCGATTGCGGATACCACGCCTGCGGCTTTACATCGTCTGTTTGAGGCGAACAGCATGGTAATATCCATCCAGTGAGACTGGAAATGGGCACAGCTAACCTGATACAGGCACCTTTCTTTGCTCTGAAATATGCACCACCAGCAATGCTCAAGACCACGCCGAAAGGCAACTATCCCAATGCCACACCAAAAGACCAAGCGTACGGATCAATAATCGTCGTATCTTCCATTGCCTCTACTACAGGCGGATGCTGGGGCCCAGCCTTCACTATGGCATCTCACGCAGCTTTAGGCGTCGTGAAAGCCGGGGTCGCCGCTCTGAAAGGCACAGGCGTGAGGATCAATTGCATCTCGCCAGGTACGGTAGACATTGGCGTCGATCTGGAGAAAGTGGACAAGCGCGGCTTGGAACACCAACTGCCACCGTCGAGCCTTCAGAGTAAAGAGACGCAGAAGCAAATCATTGGACTGGAAAGAGCTGGCAATCCAATCGAGGTTGCCAAGGTAGCTGGCTTCCTTGCAAGTGGGTTTTCATCATATGTGACTGGCGCGAACATGATTGTGGATGGAGGGAGTAGTGTGATGAATCCTCTCACGATACCGATATAGACTGAATATCAAGCGCGATACATGCTGTAGTTGAGCTTGTCCATGTGGAATCACTCCGTAGCCTGTCATCCTGTTCCTACCAAAAAGTGCCGACAATGCGAAATCATGGTAATGCAATCCTCAACGCCATCGCTGTAAACTCGTCAAAAGCATTGCTGGAACCCCTTACACGCTCATAAAGTGTGATAGAAAACTTCTAGTTCAATGCCCACGCTCCGCTTTGCTGCCCATAAAGGACGACAGGAGATGTCTAATCCAAGGTCCCCCTCTTCTTTGCAGCGCGAACTTCTAACCAGGTGAGGTACTGTGGGTTGCGTGCTGGTTTAGGTTTGCGCCCTGACCGGCGAGGTTCATCCTGGAGTAAAGCCAGCTCACTCATGTCGTAATCGCCCTCTGCGTCGTTCTGTGAAGCTGACTTCGTATTTTCTGCTGGAGTAGACTTGGTAGTCTTGAACATGCTGGAGATCTTGCGCGGAGAGATCCTGACAGCGGCAGCGGACGTGGTCCTAGTGCGTTTCGAGGGCGGCTCAGACTCTTCAGGACCAGAGTCTTGTATACTGGAGAGGTCGGAAAGTGATAATAACTCTGTGGCAGCGGGTGCAGAGCGCTTGCGAGGCTTGTGTGGTATGTCGCTGCTGGTTGAGCTCTGTTGTTCGCTATTGGTGCTATCCGTTGCTGAGCTTTTGCGACGACCTGCACCTTTGGCTCCTTCCGTTACGACTGAGAGTTTGCTGGCAGTGAGTGAGTGCAGATGCGCCGAGAGGTTCGGTGAGATGCCTTCTCCTCCTTCAGTCAAACGCCGAAGCAGTTCCTCTGCAACCTCATCGTTGGTCCAAGCTTCGAAAGTGCTTCTGCTGCCGCTGCGCTGAGTCTCCAGTAAGTAGAGTCGTTTGAGCAATTCCTGTACGACAGGGTCAGAATCATCAAGGGTCGTATTCTTCTTGCTGATACGGTCTAGATTTCGTTTGTGCTGATCCAGTTGCGACTGCATAAACGAGAGCTTGCCCGCGAGTGTGGCGTTCACATCTTCGAGCGCCTTCACCTTTGTCGCCAGAGCAGCGTCTGAGTGCGAGCTGGCTCTGTTGTTCGGAAGGCTGCTGTTTATCGATTCCTGTGACTTGACGTGGTCTTCTATCGTCTTAAGACGGAAGCGGAGATTCTTGGGTAGTCGTTGTTCTACGATTTGAACGCGGCCATCAAGTTCCTCATGAGATAAGGCCAGCTTATCGTGAGACGTGGCCACGCCTTGTAGCGTGTCCTTGATCTGTCGTCGCAACGCCGTCTCCAGTTCGCCGAAAGCTTCATCATCAGTGGTGGTGTTGTAGTTTGGTGAGGCACTACTGGTAGCCATGATTCACTGTGGCGTCTGCGCCAATTTGTCGTACAATCGTAAGAGCGTAAGATCAATAGAAATATATCATCCGACCGGGACAAGGATGGAGAAGTGCGGCGGAACTTCCTCCAGCAGAACGGCCTGCCGTTTGCAGCTTCCAGTGGGCGCCGACTCAACACGAATCTTGAGGGATCTCGGTCTGTGGTGGAATTACTTGTTCCAGGCAGAGTGTCGCTCATCAGATGTTCAGCCGAACCGCGCGATTGTCGAGGGGTAGCAAGTGCAGGCGGTGGCATCCGAGTGAGGGACAGACGAGGTTATGTTTGGCCGAGAGCGGCACGGCTGCCAAGAAGTGAGCCGATGCCAGCCACCTTCGCGACGTCCCTCTGACTTCCGCCTGACTGCCTCCTCGTCCTGCAAGACCGTTCGAATGACTGCCGACTGTCACTCAGCGCGAGGCGAGGCGACTATATACACAACACAGGTGAACGAACCGCAGAAGTCGCCAGCGCGTCAACGGCGCATGTAGCTACAACTTTCACGTTACGCAGCACGATCGCCTTGCATTGACGTCCAATGCTCAGGCCTGATCCGCGAGCAGGTTGGTCTGGTATTTGCTTTCACCACTGACATTGACATCGCGACTACGGCTATCTCACTTCAGTGCAATCAAAGCTCATAATGGAACCTCAACCCGCAGCGCCTCCCGACCATGCCGTCAAGCTGCGATCTTATCAGCAGGAAATGCTGCAGCTGAGCCTCGAGAAGAACATCATCGTCGCCATGGACACCGGATCAGGAAAAACGCACATCGCCGTCGCTCGCATTCGTGCTGAGCTGGAGCGTATGACAGGCGACGATGTAAGCCAGCCACTTCACCAGTTTGCATCGTCTTCTGACCTTCAGTTCAGCTCATCTGGTTCTTGGCACCTTCTCGAACTCTGGCAGAACAGCAGCACCACGTCTTGAATACAGAGCTTCCTGCTTATGGCATTCGTCTACTGACTGGAAATGACGAGGTAGAGAAGTGGACATCGCAACAACTCTGGGATGCAGTCTTCACCAATGTCCGAGTCGTCGTCGCAACGCCAGCCATTTTGCGGGATGTCTTGACCCATGCTTTCGTCAAAATTTCGAGACTTGCTCTTTGCGTGTTCGACGAAGGTAAGTCGGAGAAAGTGTGCCAAATTCGCCCGAACTCATCACAAATCGCTCTATAGCGCACAGGTGTACAAAGAAACATCCGATGAACCAGATCATGCAAGACTTCTATCGACCAGCGCAGGCCAAGGGCGAGAATGTCCCTCACATATTAGGCCTGAGCGCCAGCCCAGTCATGAGCACAAAGGCTGGCAGTCTTGAAACAATTGAGTCAAATCTTTTCTCGAAAGCCGTCACACCCAAGGTGCATCGAGCTGAATTGGAGAAGTATGTCCACCCCCCGGAGTTTCAGACGATTGTGTTTCATGGCTGCGGACATTACGACCAGGCAGACCCACGCAATGTTTGTGCGGCATTGACGAACGCTGCTCGAGCCTACGATATCATGAATGATCCATATGTAGTAGAGCTGAAGGAGCACATCGACGGCAAAGCTCAAGAGAGACTGGAGAAAGTGCTCATGAAGCGCGACACTTACTGTCTGCGGCAGCTCCGGGCACTGGAATCAAGAGCAGTCGCACTCCAGGACCAGCTCGGAGTAGACATGGCTCAATGGTATGTCTCTGCCTGCATACAAAAGTTCAAGGCGCAGCCTGTCGAAACCTCGATTCTGCTGGAGCTTAGTGACAAAGAGCGAGCGCATCTCTTGGCGATTACCGATGCTATCGAGCAACAAATCGCTTCATTCTCCATTCAAGGTGACATCGTGCTCAGCGACAAAGCCTCCAAGCTCATTGCCACCCTTCAGCAGCATGCTGATGCCACGGTCCGGTGCATCGTGTTCGTCGAGCAACGTGTCCAAGTCACTGCTCTCGCAGAATTGCTCCGGCAAATGCCCGCGATGCGCGAGCTCTACACAGTCGCAGCTTTCGTGGGCACGTCAACAAACACAAATCGCAAATTATCACTCGCAGACTTGGTGGCGCTCAAAGATCAGGAGAATGACCTCCAGGCATTCCGAGAAGGACGCAAGAATTTGATGATCGCGACCAACGTTCTGGAGGAAGGCATAGACATATCCGCGTGTAACTTGGTTTGTATTATACTCCAACCAGCGGCCACATTTCTGATCTTCCTTTAGGTCATCTGCTTCGATGCACCGAAGAACTTGGTGTCGTTTGTGCAGCGTCGTGGACGGGCGAGGAAGGCGAATTCGAAATATGTATTATTTGTGTCCGAAGAAGAGAACGCCCGGGGCCGCAAAGGGTGGTCTGCTCTCGAAGCGGAGATGAAGGCAAGGTATATGGACGACTTAAGAGCTGTCGTCATCGAAGACCCAACTACTGAGCCCCAGCGAACATACGAGGTGCCTTCGACCGGCGCGCTACTAACCACAGCAGATGCCAAAGCACATTTGTATCATTTTTGCAGCGTGAGTATCTCAGGAGGTACGAAGTATGTGGACCTACGACCAGAATTCAGCTGTCACGAAGATCCTAAGACAAAGCTTTGGAAGGCGGAGGTAATTCTGCCTACATCGGTCCACGCGAGTATGCGGCATGCAGTTTCTTCGAAGGCATGGGAGACTGAGAACGACGCCATCAAAGACGCTGCATTTGAGGCATATGTCAAACTCCATCGAGGAGGACTGGTTAATGACAATTTGCTTCCGCTTGTCAAGGACTACGGTCCTGAGCCTGACACTGAGCATGTCAATCAGCCTTCGATCTTGCAAGTCTCGGAGCGTAAATCGCCACTCGGGGAGGCATGGCGCAGTGCGAGTCCTAGCACGAAGTGGAGTTCGTCCAAGATCCAGCTTTTGCTACAAGGCGAACTTGTTGTCGAGTTGACTATGTGGGTACTCGGCCAGACACCCGTTATCGATTCTTTCGATCTTTACTACAACAGTCACAAGACCTACCAAGTCAAGGTAACAGCTTGCAGTCAAGGAGAAGTCTTATCGGACGAGGCGCAGACTACGCTGAGAGCCTGCACAGCTACGCTCTTGGCCAGGGCGTATGGCCATCGGATGTCGGCCAGCCAAGACGACTTCGCTGTGCTCTTTCACTCGGCGGATATCATCAGTGTAAGCATTGCAGACAAGCAACCAGAACAAAATCGAAGCGCGGAGATCATGCTCGTTTCGATTTCTCAGGTGGAAGATGCTGGCTTGGTGCGCGTGGCATCCCAACAGGGGCGCTCATACTTTTTGCACAGCATAAACCAGGACACAAGAGAACTGAATCTCACCGCCTTTCCCAAGCGAAAGGACTTTCTACATCCCGCCGTTGAATATAGCGTTGCACACACGGCAAGGAACATCTGCAAGGCTGCGGAGTGTACAATTGATGCACTTCCAGCCAAATATGCGCTACTCTCAGCTTTTGTGCCGTCTATCTTGCGCAAACTCGAAATAACTCTGATCGCGCAAGATCTTGCTCAGAACAAGTTAGGGACAGTCGGAACCTTGGAACTGTGTTCACTTTTGGAAGCGATCACCTCACCTGCCGCGCGAGAGCCTTACGATTACAACCGTCTGGAATATCTCGGTGATTGTATCCTCAAACACTGTACGGAATTGCAATTAATGGCCCAGTACAAACACTGGCCAGAGGCATACCTCACGCATGAGAGGGATCGCATTGTGCGGAACAGCAATCTCGCGAAAGTAGCGATTGACTCTGGACTTGACCAATACATACTTGCTGCACCTTTTACGGGAAGCAAGTGGCGTCCGCCCTACGCAAGTGACATGCAGGCACCAGACACACGCCCCATGTCAACCAAGACTCTAGCAGACGTCGTGGAATCCTTGATCGGAGCAGCATATATCAGTGGTGGCCTTGAGAGGGCGTTCTGCTGCATCAAAACGCTTTTGGCCAACGAGATCTGGGACGACCGGAGTCAGTGCATTGAAGTGCTGCTTAAGGAACTGCCAACTACTTCCATTACAAATCTTGCACCACTCGAGAAAATTATCGGACACACGTTTGAGCATCCCGCTCTTCTTGTCGAGGCTACCACTCATCTCTCTTTCCCATTCAACCGGACGGGCGTTTCATATGAACGTCTTGAGTTCTTGGGAGACAGTGTGCTCGACATGATAGTCACACCGAAGCTCTTCGCTCATGCAAATAAGCTCAAGCACTGGCAATTGCATGGAATGCACGCGGCCTTGGTCAACAGCCACTTTCTAGGGTTCTGCTGCTTGCAGCACACCATCTATGACGAGACTTTCCAGGTCGTCTCGGATCAGTCTGGAGGATTCCGGACGCTTGAACAGCAAAGAGAAGTCCACCTCTATGACTTCTTACGCGCTGCGCCTCAGCTCAACAAGGACAAGAACGCTACGGCTATCAGGTATCAAGAGCAAAAAGAAAGGATCAACCAAGCACTCCTGACAGGTGACGAATATTATCCATGGGTGGAGTTGGTGACGCTCTCGCCACCCAAGTTTTTCTGTGACTTGATCGAGGCTACTCTCGGTGCCATCTTCATCGACACCCGTGGTAGCTTGGATGCATGTGAAGCCTTTGTCGAACGCATTGGTGTTTTGAAGATCATGCGGAGGATTCTCGATGACAATATCTCGTGCGTTTCGCCCAAAGAGATGCTGGGTATCTTGGCAGATCGAGACGAAGTCAAGTACACAAGCAAGACTAACGAAGGAGAGAATGGCAAGAAGTCGTGGCAGTGCTTTGTGAAAGTTGGTGAAGAGGATATAGCCAACGTTGGCGATTGCAGTACTAGAGAGGAGGCCGAGACTAAAGCCGCTTATATGGCATGCAGCATTTTGCGGACCAGAGGGCATGGAAGAGCTGAGAGTAAGAAGAGAAAGCTGGATGAAGCAAGCTTTGAATCTGGCGAGCAGATGGAGATCGAAGAAATGGCAGACTGAGATGTTGTCATGGACTGTAGTATTCGAGGACGACGAGCAGGTCTACTGAATGTGTGTTAAAAAAAAAAAAAAAAACGCTTTTGTGGACTACTGTCAGGTATCTCCATTGCACGCTCTCTTCTCTCAATGACTTAGCAGGATCCCAAGTCAATGGCCAATGTTCATGCTACTCCGTGTTGCAACTCGTGCTAATGGTTGATCACGGTCTGGGCGGAGAAGCCCAGTCCAGGAAGACCCTCCAACAGTTCGTCTCGGGTTCACCCGGAAGCATCGAACTGCAACAGTGCAACTGCAGACGCGTGCCTCCCGAGACCCATCAACAACAGCTGACCTGCAGCTTCAAGCTTACTACTACAGAGAGCTCTGTACCTCGGACGAAATACGATGCAGTCCCTCATCTCCTCTCTGAGGCGAAAGCCTTTGAACGTACTGCGAACGACAATGGCTCTCGGCGCACGATCTGAATCTTCTCAAGCCGGAAATAACTTCGTGAAGCGGTTGACCTTCTTCAAGGTAGCCAAGGAGGAGGACATTCAGGCCGTCTTGAAAGAATACGAGATTTTGCGAAAGAATGCTTTGAAGGTCAGCTTCCTCCCTCTCGTTCTCCTGCATAGCAAGGAAGATGCCAGAGAATGGTAAGCTTGTGCACGTCCTGTCTTGTGCTAAATCATCATTGTACGACAGGACGGCAAGCCGTACATTGTTTCGAATGTTTCTCGACGCGTTTTGAATACATCGTCGCCGCTCAGCGAAGGCTATACGATAGCTTCGCAATCGATCTTCAAGAATCACGAGGATCACGAATTTTATGACCAGAAGTGTGAGGCTCACAAAGAGCTGAAGGTAATATGTGATGTTGTATACCCAGGAATCAATGCGTGCCCTACTGACGGCGTTGCCAGAAAACAACAAGCAGAGTACGGACGGGTGTCATGACAATAGTTTCGGAAGGCCAATGGCCGGAGCCAAAACTATAAACAAGGTTCGGGCGCATGTCCCAGCACTCTTTTCGCCAACTTTTCCAAAGTGCTCTTCAAGTTCCCGTGTTTCTATAAGCCGTCCACAATTGGAGTCCCAGCAATTTTGACTCCTGCGGAGTATCGGAAGGGTCTGCGGTGCCCCTCAATTTTTTTGCTCCAGCACGGGTCCCGGTAGCGATAACTTACGAGTTCCCGGAACTGGTTGTTGGCATGGCCCCTTGCAAGGGTGACTGTCGTAGTCATCCCATAGGAATTCGACCCGCAATCCTCGCCCGGTTCCGCATCGTGATGCCAGCTGAAGCTCTCAACCTGTGTGACTTCCCCAATCAGATTGAGGACATCGGCCTGTCTGTGTTCATGGTTCAAGCTCAATATCATTCACCAGATCCCAAGTCGGCACCTTCGTCTTATCGAACGTCCCGATCGCTTTGCCGTCGAATCGGTGTTGTGCCGTTTTCTCCTCAATGTACCACAATGCTGAATGCCGAACTGTTTCCCACTCTATGACGCTTGCTCCCAGAATGCCGTCTTCACGGGTAAGTCTGTCGAGGACGTCCTTGGTCCAGCTAACGCTGTTCCACCCGCCGGCGTCGCTGTGCTTTTTCACTCTCGTGCCCCGGAGAACGTCCATCAATCGTTCTTTGTCGAGCACTTTCCCGAGGAGAAGGCGAACGACGATCATGTCCACCGCCGTCAACCAGACTTTGCGCTCCTCAAAATGGTATTCTGTCCTGATCGTGTACTTGTCTTTGGTCTCGTCAATGATGACAACGTCTTTGGCATGACATTTCGTGCCTTGCGAAGACTTGTTCTCATGTTTGGGACCGATTAGGAAAGCCCAGTGGTATTTGTCTTCTTTGCCCGGCATCACGGGCTTTGTGGAAGCAGCGCGGGTGTAGAGGGCGAGGTAGAAGCGGTCTTTGTTTCGAGGCATGGTCGGTGAGCACATAGTATTGAAAGAGAGGGCCAATGAGGCCCGCGAAGGCAGCGAAAAGACGAAGGCGAAGCTGGATAAGACGTGTTATTTGGCATAAAGGGCCTGCCCGGAATTGCACAACAGGAGCATGGAACAGTCTCCAAGACAGCTACGAGTGCGAAAAATGGGCTGCGTAAACAAGGTTCAAGGAAGTGTTGAGAGCGAAAGCCTTGGTCTGGATGAGGGAGACCTAGAGATGCTTTATAGAGCGGCAGCATTATGCAAAAGCTTGCCACGAGGCGCAGACATGCCTGGTCGAGGTTGGGGGCAGGCCGTGGCGTGAATATGAATACGATCTCGGCAGATCATGGCTACACCTGGTTGCGTTCGTGATGATGCTGGCGGGCAGCACGCGACATCTTGGCTTGAGGCGGATATGTACTGTGAGAGGTGGTACAAGACGCGGCCGCCAGATAGACAGGTCCGCCCGGTCAGCGCCCAAGATGATGTTCTGGCCGAATGTGGGAGCGGAGTCTGGCGGTGCTGGCGGTGGAAAGGATGGCTGACTTCACTTGCGACTGGGGGCGGTCGTTGGCGGAGCCCCACTTCGCGTGTCGAATTACGCGCCAAGACTTGCATTGTGCAGGCTCGAATTTTTGACAGAGCACGCACCCCGCCGCCAACAACATCACCACCGCCATCTCCACCATGCCTGGACTTCCACCCGGATTGCTCGAGGCCATCGAGGCCCTGCCCGCGTCGGACACATGGGGTCCACCAACCACCAGCGAAACGACGCTCAACGGCATCCCATATGCGCCATTTTCCAAAGGCGACAAGCTCGGCCGCATGGCCGACTGGACTGCCGAAGGCAAGGAACGTGAAGGACGCGGAGGACGCCAGCAGTACAACAACCGATATCGCGACCAGGTGTACGGCGCTTCGGGTCTGCAGACTGCTTTCCAGATCGAAGGCCAGAATGAGGAAAGCTCCTTCTCCCTAGTCGACCGCAGCGCACCGACAACGCGGGGCAGAGGATTCGGGAGAGGTTCTGCCGTTTTCGGACGCGGACGGGGCGGTCGTGGTGGTGCGCAAGGCCAAAGAGGTGGGCGCGGCACATTTCAGCGTGTTGGAGGTCGTGGTGGAGCACAGCAATATGACTCGCGAGGCGGCAGAGGCGGGCGCGGTGGACGCAGAGGAGGGTGGAAAGACTGGGATAAGCCACAGCGGAATCGCGAGGCTTCAGTGCAGCCTAAAGACAGCTGGAGAATGTTGGATGAGATCGACTTCAACCGCCTGCAGAAGCTCAATCTGGACACTGGCGAGGGCGAGGATCTGGACGATTATGGCTTCTTGTACTACTATGACAGGTCATACGACAAGCAGCCAGGAGCCCCAACGAGCGTGAGGAAGCTGACAGTGCTGGATCGTGCTGCGTACAACGTCTCGACTTCTTCCGATCCGGTCATCCAAGAGCTGGCTGAGAAGGACGAGGCACAGATTTTCGCCGCCGACAACATTCTGTCCATGTTGATGTGCGCTCCTCGAAGTGTATACAGTTGGGATATCATCATGCTCAAGCAGGGCAACAAGATCTTCATTGACAAGCGCGAGGGCAGCAGCCTTGACATGGTTACTGTCAACGAGAACGCAGCTGATGCCCCACTGGAGCTGAGCGAGGGCAACAAGGACCAAATCAACGCTCCAGGCGCTCTCAAGGAGGAGGCCACACATATCAACAACATCTTCCCTCTGCAAGTCGTGCAGGAATCGGAAAGCTCGAAGCGCGACATGAACCACGAGCACCCATTTTACGACCCAGCTTCCGAGACCGACCCTCCAGCGAGCAAAGCGTACAAGTACCGCCGTTTCGATTTGTCCCTCGAGGCTGACGCGGAACCCCTCCATCTCATTGTTCGATCTGAACTTGATGCAGTGGTGAAGAATAACATCTCGGGCGAGGATCAATTCCTCACCATCAAGGCGCTGAATGAGTTCGACAACAAGGCGCAAGGTAGTGGAGGCGCCCTTGACTGGCGAACAAAGCTCGCATCACAGCGTGGTGCCGTTGTTGCAACGGAAATGAAGAACAACTCGTGCAAGCTCGCGCGATGGACCACTCAGTCTATCCTCGCAAAGGCAGACCTCATGAAACTTGGGTGAGTGTCAAAGAACATCTCCTCATATTGCTTCCAACTGACAACTTTTAGTTTCGTTTCACGCGCCAACCCCAAGTCTACCACCGAGCACGTCATTCTCGGTGTATTGGGCTACAAGCCACGTGAGTTCGCATCTCAGATGAACTTGAACCTCAACAACGGCTGGGCTATCGTTCGCACATTCGTCGACATGGTCATGAAGGAGGACGACGGCAAGTACGTCTTGGTCAAGGACCCGAACAAGCCTACCATTCGCCTGTACAACGTGCCTCCAAACACATTCGAGGAGGATGAAGTCGAGGCGCAGAGTACGATTCCAGAGAACGATGATGAATAGATGGGAAATGCATGCGGTACCGTGTATGAGGGGCGGAAGAAGCAGGAGAAGAGGACCTAGCCTCGTCGTTCGTGTACGAAGCGTTTTATGGATGCACGTCCGTTATGAGCACTAAGCATAGATGCGTGGCAGACTGCACGAAAAATGTCACACCACGTTGATGTCTCGCCAAATATCTTGTGCGACGCACCTTCTCGACCCAAATCACCTGCATCTGCATCTGACCCGAGAGTAGGAGTCAGCCGTGACCTGAAGAAAAGCACCAAGCTAGACCTCTTTGACAATGTAGTACAACTGACGGGCAACATTGGCTAGCGTCCATGGTATCATGTCCAATCGAGCTGTGATCTGGGTCAAGGGCTGCACAGGCGTTCATGCGACGTGAGCTAGCGTTCATGGTTTATCGACCAGTCAATAGCTTGCGACGTGCCTCAATCCTGGTCGAGTGTTGGTTGCACGAACATGCAGTCAGCTGTGTGGGTGTGCGGAGTTCGCTGTGTGCTGTCTCAGACGAAGAGATGTGCAAGTGTTTGAAGTTGCTCAGTAGTGATGTTGATGGTAGATTAGTTCTCGGCGTGAGAAGTGTTCTTGTCAATATATAATTGAACAGAAAGTCATCACGCTGATCTCGTTTCGCTCCAATGTAGAAAAGGTCGTACGAACGACATTGACAAGTGTCCAAGGATGTTGCCAGACAGCCAAAGCGTCTGTTCGATCATATTGATTGTCAATATAATTTACAGTTGTTGAATATTGACCGGAAAGTCTCCCCACGACCATTTCAGTGGAAAAGGCGTGGAGGTGGCGCTGCTACACATCGGTTAGTAAGGGGAAATAAAGCGACAACACACCCTTCATAAGCATACCTGGAACCGTTCCAGCTGCTGGCGAATCCTGCTTGCGCTGCGTCGATTGTGACATTGGGCTACTACCCTTTCATCAGTACAGCTCACAGAGCTATGACGGCGAATCCCACTCTCCAAGTCTCAATTCCGTGGAACAGCGTTCGTAAGACTTGATCTGTTCCCGCATCCCACGTGCATCGTGGTTGGGCTCGAATCGGAGGTCAAGCTTCGTATTCGAATTTGTGCGGACAAGCCATATGCCCCCGCGGATAAAACTGGCGCTCTCTAGAAGCAGGTTAGACGGCCTCAGTGAGGCGCAGTGCTCATACAGCAACGCAGTCAGTCGAGTGCTCACTGTCAGAGCTCGCCCAGTCGGGCATTTTCTCGTCTTCGTCAAGTTCAATATAGCCATCTCTGCCGGTTCTATGCTGAAGATTGTGATGGGGTGTCGTCACATGTCGGAGCCAGTTTTCTACGGTATCAGACACATACCCGCAGTCGTCATGAACACAAACTCTCTGCCGTACCTCCAGCGTGAGGTTTTCACTTTGTCGCAGTAGCCGATGGTGACAGCCCTGCAGCTGGCAAGTGAAAAAGTAGCGTTCTGGTAACTCATCCTGATTGCCAGTGACACGATCAGTCTCTCGTTCCACGGTCCAGTCACATCGCTCATGCTGCTGCATCTCCCAATCTGGCTTCCATGATTGGAGGCTGTCTGCAACGGGCTTCTGAACCGACATAAGGTGTTGTTCCAGCTGTTGCAATCGAGCTAACGCTGCAGACCGAATGTTGTAGGAGTCCATATTTTGAACTTCTATACGAGCCGTGTGGTCGAATTCGAAGTTGACATCATTGCTGGTCTGATTGTGCTGCCTCAATTGCTCTCGCGAGAGATGCTTGTTGATTCGTTTCCACTCGTGCCGCCAGCGCCACTCTGGCCGTCCATCGTCTTGGTATACAACTTTTCCGTCAGAGCATCGTTGGTAGATTGGCGTTGTTGTGCCCGACTGTGCATTTTCGTGCATAGAGACAGAGCTCCGCCTGGTGCCCGTGTACGCCGCTTGCTTGGACTTCCATACTCCATCCCACGCGGTCCCGTTGAATAATTCTGGGGACCCCTCGCGGCTCGAGGTGCTTTGCACAGGGCTGGAAGATCCGCAGACGAAGTCGCGGTATTCGCTCTCGACATCTTTGACCCATGCTCCGTATTCGCGAAAGGAGTCGTTAGCAGCGCTGGTCGCCCGAGCCTGCCTGGAGAGTTGAGCAGGTAATGGCGCACTTCTGGACGATGAACCTGGCTCTCCTACTCGTTTTCCTAGCCCCAAGAAGTCACGAGATTGAATTTCTGCTTCGATGCCGGGGGCTCCAGAAAAGGCAGATCTTGTAAGATCTTTGGCAGAGCCGACGATTCGATCGACATAGGAGGCTGCCATTGCCAACGATCTGCGCCTACATGCAATGCTGACTTATCAACGAAGGTTGGACGAATGGAAACCGGTTAAACTTTTGGCCTGCAGTGTGCTGATCGTCTGCAAATTTTGCGTGCTCCAATTGCTTCTGAGCCAGCGAGGCAAAAGTGGTTCCGGCGCACGTCCGACATATAAGTGCTGCGATGGAACGGAAGACGTGCCTGTGAGAGCGTGGCGAGTCTGTGGGCGGCGGTGGTGGTGAAAACGTCTTTCTCGAAGTCGCTGTTGCTCGCATCGGCAGCTCGGCGTTTGCAGGGGTGCTGTCGGACGCAGAGACCGAGGAATCTCTTGCCGCTTCCAGTCGCGCTATCCTCCTCCTACTCTCCTCCGCTGGTGCTGATAATACTACGACAAGAAGCAAAAAGAATGCACAGCAAACGAGACGAGAAACGGTGGCCGAAAATGCGCACAGAAGAGCGTCATGTACCGCTGCCCTGGGCGAGCATCGTTCCCCTCACGGAGCCCTCGCACGACTGGGGAACTGGATGCATGGGTGCAGCATCTATTGCGGTTCTCGGAAGATCTCGCGAGCACGCGACCTCATCCACGTCCGTATACTATTTTGCCCACTGGCTGCTCTCATCGAATATATCGCACGGTCGTCAAATATGCCTTACTGTCCAGTTCGGCCAACCACTCTTCAACACTCGCTCGTTTCCAGCCTTCTTGGGCGGCGATCTCTTCGAAAGCATGGGTGCCGTCACAATGCAGTATCAATTGCGGCAACACGTCTCGCAAGTCGTGGTTCCGAACAGAGCTCTTGAGAGCATCTACAAGCTTCCGTTGCTCTTCACTCAGTTCTCGTGGGTCGTTTATGTTCACATAAACTTCTGGCGCAGTCTTGTCTCCTCCTGCCTGAGAGCTGACCTGTGTTTCGCGGCTGAAGCGCCTGGACTGTCTGCTGAGGGGCGTCGAAGGTGCAGCAATCGCAGTACGCTCGGAGCTGACGCTGACAACGTCGTCATCGACAGCTCTAGACTTGGGCGAAAGCAAGTTGTTGCGAGTGTGGAGAGGACGCTTCGGCGTTTCTCCCTTTGCCTGCGTCTGTTCGAGTAGATTCTTCGGCAATCTGAGCCAGCCATACGTCTTGAGCTGTACCACAAGACCATGGCGGACGAGGTAAGACAATATATTCATGTAAGCGGTGCGATGGTCCCTGCTTGGGATCAGAAGCCCGTACTTGATCGGTTTGCCGCTCAGCACTTTGAGCATATTTGGAAGCGTAGGCAGCGTGGGAAACAGCTTGTGGTAAGCACTGATGTGCTGCTGTAGGTCTTCGAGCGGTGCATCTGGCGCCACGACGTATGTGTTGCGCTGGTGCAGCGGAGATATGATACGCGCTTTTCGCCACTTGAGCAAATGTGATGCCATGTACAGCACATCCTCCACAGGCATGCCAACATATGCAGCATGTTTCTGTAGGTTCTTGGTCGGCGTGTGCTCGCGTACAAATGCTGCCAGAGGTGAAGCATCCGGGTGTGATAGGTCTAGAAGAAGATTCTCTTTGCTGTCCAAGAGCAAAATGGCCGAGAGCGGACCCAGTTTGGCGTCTGCATTCGCACTAATATGATTCGGCTCGCTCAGATGCAAAGACATTTCCATGCCGTTCAACCTGACCCCAGCGAGCTCACCTCGCGAGATGCGATCGTAGATTTCCTTCAACGTCCAGGCTAGCTCACTCGTCTCAACAATTCGCGTCCAGAGTTCAGACATAGATATCTGCGACTGCCTAGCTTTGGTCCTGGTCGCGAGGATCCTGCGGCTCTCTGCTTGCACGTAATTCGCTTGCTTCTGGCAGTAATGTAGAGCTCTGCTGAATTTCTTAGCCACTTCTTGGTAGATCGCTTGCGTTTCTGCTTGTGCTTCAGCGCCTCTTCCACGCAACACGAAGACAATATGAAACATAGACATGCTGCCATCTGTCGTCGGGTCTGAACCAGTCGAAGAGACTGTCCGCATTGATGTTCCCAGCGCGATTTGATCTTGAGATTCGAAGCTGTCAGGCACATGGGCGAAATCAAGTTCACTGCCTGAAGGGCGAGGTGATGGTGTCTCACGACGATCCAAGGTCAGGCTTGCCAGATCAGTTGTGTCCTTGCTCGCAGATGTAGAAGGCGCATCGGCATTCTTCGCTGCCCATTCTCCATCTTCTGACGCATAAAGTGGGTGACCGACGAAAGACAGTCCGTTCAGATTGATCTCAAATTTCTTCCGGTCGCACCAGCGACCTGGTGATAGCACCTTCTCCAAGCTGCCTACGGAGCTTCCGAGAACTCGTGGTCCGGGAGGCTTCTGCGCGCCATCTAGGTTGCGTCGGGCATCATCAGGCACGATCAGTGGCGATTCAGCGCCCGAGTCGTCTCGCTCATGCTTGTTGTCTTCTTCGTCCTCCTCAGAATCGGAGTCATCGGCATCAATGTCCGCGTACTTTCGCTTGGTCTTATAGTCGGGTTTCTCAGGATAATGAAATACAAGTCTTGGTCCGGGCCGCGTACGCGTGATAAGTAGGATTGCGACAAGCCCACCGCCGCGTTTCGCTTCTTCCTTCGACTCCATTTGCCATTTTACTGGTCAATGGCAATGCTGTGACAAAAACGCCGGAGGAATGTTTCTTCTAGGCGGTATTGTGGCAGGTGAGCTCGGCTACCTCAAAAACGCGACGCGAACTAGAGACAGTGTCAATATTTGATGAGAAATTGAAGCCTTTGGGGCATTTTAGTTCCACAAGTCATTCGTCTATTCATCGCGAGCCATGCCATGCTGTGATTTTAAATATGATACAGGGCAGATGAGCATTTACACGCTGCTGCAGCATGGGGAGCGCAGTACTGTGCCAGCCCGCCAGCCTCTAATGTACGCCCGTCGCATCTAAAGCAGTTCCATGCCTGGCCATCTATTGGATGCTTCTGAAGAAGTCCATGACTCCCGTGAAAACCACCAGCAGAATACCGCCTCCTGGTCCGAGTCTCAGCACCTTTGGCAAGAAACCCTTGTACAGCGCGGCGAATCCTTCCTCCTTCGCGACCGTGCCCAAGGCTGGCCAGGCCCAGTTGTACTTGGGTACTCCACCAACGACCTTGGTGCTGTTCTGAATTCTGCTCTTGACCACGTCCATTGGAGTGTTGAGTATTGTTCCAACAGTTCCTCCAATGCTACCAGAGATCAAATCGTTTCGCATCTGAATCGACTTGTCCCCGGTGGGATTCGCCGGCAGCAGAGAGCGCACCTGGAAGATGCAGCCGAAGTAGCCACTGTTCCAGAGAATGTGGCGCCACATGGTCGACTCGAGACCCTGGTAAAGGGTAAGTGGGCCCTCGTTGCGGATGATCTTAGTGACACAGTCCATCATGCCATTGTACTTGGACGCTTGCGCCTTGTCTGAGCCAAAGTCAGTGGTCACAACTCTTCAGAGAAAATCAAAAGGTTCTCACCTTGTAATCGGATCTTCACCAACTCGAACGGCACCACCACGAAAGCCTCGGTTGCACCAGCAGAAGCTCCGGTCAGAATCGACAGAGACTGGTTCATCTTGGCCACACCGAAAAAGTTCCTGTAGAACTTTCCCCACTCATCGTTGGCTGCAAACTTGGTGGCACGCTTAGGTGCCTCCATGAGGATAGGGGCGGAAATGCCTCGATAGAGACGCGAGAAACTTCGTCGCGTCAGCTCTGGCGCTCGATGCACTCATCCATTCCTCCTTCCGCATCCACAGCCACCGCCGCACGAGTCTATCACTTACCCTTCATTGGCGACGATTTTCTTGAAGCAATCTCCCATGCCCGTGTAAAAGTCCTGGCCTGGGATCGGCACTCTGCCCTGGATCTGACTGCGCACATTGTGTTAGATGTGCTTCGACTCGACAGAATTATCCCATTGCCTACACTCTTGTCTTGACCACGTCGAGCGGGTACATAACGAGAATCTCGGAAACACCAGCCACCGCACCAGCGGCGAACTGGTATATGAACGGAAGCGGCTTATCGGTCGACATGTTGGGCGAGGTGATAGCGGTGTCGTTCGAAGCGGTGGAAATGTGACTTTATGGTAGTCGAGGGCTGGCCGGTGGTGCAGTGGTGGACAAGAAGAGCGGAGAGTGAATGTAAAGTGGTTCCAATGGTATGTGGAACTGCAGACAAAAGTGACTGAGAGCTCGAGTACAATCTGGTTAAGGCCAGCTCCGAGTCCCGATCGCGGCGCGGCACGCATTGGTCAACACGTGCCACATGCGTTTCGCGTGGAGCCGCAGCATCTTCACCCGCACTTGTCTCCACAGGGTCTGCATCTGATGAAGCTCACTTCTTGCAATCGAAGCGAAGCTTTTCCAATGCCCGTAACACGTGCGGGAATGGAACCTTCAATGTGAATTGATTGTTGATATCAGGTTGGGTTCTTACCAGGATTGCGTCTGATGGCCGCTTGAGACTTAGACGTGGAGTGGATGTGGTACACAGCAAGCAAACACGTCTTGTCCCGCAATGTTCCGCTCATCACCGCTGTCGTGCCTATAGCGTGGTGATGGAGTATAGAGCTGCATCAGGTCAGGTATACTGGGTCTTGTTTAAAAGGCTGAAGCGATAAGTACTCAAAAGGATTGTTTCTCAGAACGCAAAACTCCGAGAGACTTTATCTCTATGATGAGTGTTTGCTAGTCAAACACACGATCAACTAGAACATATGAGCTAACGTTCGGAACTTCGGACAAACAACAAAATTCCACCCACGCCACAGAAGTGGCAGACGTCAGATAAAGGACTTACCAACTCGTTTCGGAGTTTCATCTTGCTCCTTACAGGAAAAGCACAAAGGAATGGGGACATGAGTATGAAGTATCATGTTACGACCAGAACAAACATACTATCTGGATCTGACTTCAATCTATACACACTAGTGTACAGCGAACGATCGTGTGCCACATCATATGACATTCCTCTGTCTGCCGCAGCAATTCGATTGTGCTGCCCCCCATTGCTATCGCTCCATCTATGCCTTGAAGTCGGCAAACTGCTGGCAGTTGCATCGGTTTGGCTCCGCACCGCAGTCGGTCAATGGGTTACCCTCAATAACAGCCCGGGCACGGCAACCATTCCAGACACCGCAAGACAAGGTGCAGCCAGCGTCGATTTGTGGCTCTGGTGCTGGCTCTGGCTCGCGCTTGACCTTGAAGTCGGCGAATTGTTGGCAGTTGCATCGATCAGGCTCGGCGCCACAACCGGTCAATGGCTCGCCCTCGATGACGGCACGGGCACGGCATCCGTTCCACACGCCGCAAGAAAGTGTGCAGCCGGCATCGATTTGTGGCTCTGGAGCAGCAGCACGCTTTGGCTTGAAATCGGCAAATTGTTGGCAGTTGCATCGGTTTGGTTCGGCACCGCTAATGCAAATGGTCAGTATGCAGAAATTGTCGAGGTGAAAGGAGCATCGAACCAGCCGGTCAAAGGGTTGCCTTCAATGACAGCGCGAGCGCGGCATCCGTTCCACACACCACAAGAGAGTGTGCAGCCCGCGTCCACTTGGGGAGCAGCTGAAGCACCAGCAGCGCTCAGGATGGTCATGGCAAGGACGGTGAATTGCATGATGGCTGATGGAATAATTGATTTCTTGGAAATGGGTCTTGTCTCTGTTTTCGTTGTGATCTTTGTTGCTGAGGATGATGTTGAATCTCAAGCGGCCGAAGCAAGTCCTTATATATCTTGTGCTCCATCTCGTCGGCGTAGGGCATCGCACGACCTTCGTCATTCTTCCTTCAGCTCATTCCCTACTTACCACTCGCTCAAGGACCCTGATGGTAGGGTGAAGTCGCTGTCCGACGTATCGTTGTTCATGGTGACTCGGGATGAGACAGCATCACGCAAGCCCAGGCGAATATCATACCCATTGAGTCGCAGTAAGCGAATCTCGAGTGCATCTTTTGCTCGATGTGTACGCAGAAGCGAGAGACCCTGTTGAAAGTGGTTCCGGAGTAGCATGGTTTGACGTATGCTGCATTCGTATTTTCTACGCCAAGGGGGTCTCAGCGTGCGGCAAGAGCTTCTGTCCTGACCCTAGTCGTGCTAGATGTGCTAGGTGGAGTCGAAAGAAGCTGTAAAGAGACCAGTCGCGAGTCTGGAATGTAGCATGTGTCGCGGCATGCTTGCTGACGTCGGCGAATAGTGAAGGTAGACGATCTCAATCGGGTAAGCTGTAGATGGTTAGCGGGCACAGAAACTCTGCCCAGCGAGATCCTCGCTATAGAGAAGAAATTGCACCAGTAACTGTGCGCCACAAGCGACCGGGCATGGGCGTGCTTTGCCCGAAAGATACACTCCAAGCAGCTGGGCCAGGCTGGGGTTGCCTATAGCGATTCAAGCTCAGCACGTGTTGCACAAGCTGAGGCGTGCCCTATTCTCCACATCAATTGATCGGCGCGTTATGAATGCACAATTCTGGAGAATGCAGCAATGCCACTTTCTAATGCATGGCTGATCTGGACCATTGCTATGATGATCGTCTACACGATCCGGCCAACGTGGTATCAAGACCCTGGCTGCGATCGTTGGTACTGTTCAGCTTTGCACAAGAGGACATGCAGACACTCGTATCATTATACGAGACTGTGCTGTAGTCCTGGCGTACGTCATAAGGCTCAAGAATCACAAACCTGCACCGTACATAGGACGGCAGTTGTTGACAGTCTTCGGGACAAGGTGATGCACAATGGACTTGAGTTCAGTGAGGCCCATCGAGTAGGTGCTGGTCTTGCAGTCTTGCTTGATATCCGCTCGCCCATCTGACTTGCTTTGGGGCCTGAGCACACTTCTTGGGAGATGCAGCGAAAGTGATTATCTTGCAGGCCTGGTGCGCAGGGCTCTGGACCTTTCGTCAGGAGCGGTCTTCTTGGTGTGCCTTTCCGCTGGAGTGGTGCGGCAATGGTGCGTACCGGAAAAGTCGTTCAGGAAGCGAAGCGGGCAATATGCTGAAGTCGATACATCTTACTCTTATAAGCTCCCAGGCCTGCCAGACTGGGATTCGTTGCGCCTCGGCATCCACTGTTGATCCTGAAGGCGTGATCTCTGTCCAAGCAAGTGCAATCATGAAGTCGGCAAGTGCCAGCTCGAAGCTTTGGATGTACATGGAGTGCAGCGCTCGCACCGACGGGAGCGCGGTGGTCGCAAATTCGCAATTCTCGCCCGCGCTGAATACAATCGCAGCGCAACGAGTTCAAGACTACAAGTCATCGCCGTGGAGCCCCTTGGACACTGGAATCAAGTATAATGCACGTGCCTACCATGGAGAAGGCAAGATCAGCAACATCATCGTTCGTGTTCGTATTGCACACCGCTACCACCGGAGCGCGTCGGAGGTCCGCGGCGACATGAAGACGGACGACGAGGTGCAGGTGTAGGTGCAGTGCTCGATGCTCGATGGCTTGTGTCTTGCTCGATGCTCGCCCGGCGTCTTTCTGTGGAATGATGTCGCGCGCACTGGGTCCGCGGAACGGCTGACACGTTGCCAACCCCCTGCGGAACTGATTGGGAAGGAGAGCGGGGCACGCAGGAGCGATCGCATCCTGTTCCTGTCTCTCCTCCCCAAATACGAGGGCCATGATCCGCGCACGCGCACTCGATTCCAAACAATGCGCTCGGCATTTCTGTGCCACATACCACTCCTTTCATGCCGCGCTCCATGCTGGCGGGCTCGTGGAGAAGACAGCCTGCGATACCTCCAATGCTCCATGAGCACGCAACGCATCGCTGTCGCCGCCATTTCCACGTGCCGCGTTAGAGCGACCTCCTTGCCCAGTCGCGCTGCCGCTCATAATTTGCTATTTTGACGACTCGTCAGCGTCGCCCGCCCGCTTGGCTTGGCTTCCGCCGAACGAGCTGAACGACTGAGTGACCGAAGGCTTCGTGGCGCTAACACACTTTGGCTGTCGGCGTGTCCCGTCTTCTCGTCTTGTCTCTCCTCTCCTCCCCAACCTCCTCCTCTCCGCCTTTCGTGCACGTAGATGGCGGTGCATACCTGACCTTGGTCCTTTCTTTATTACCACCCCTGCACAACCCAGCTTGTCATACTCTCGCTTCATTTTATCTCCATAACCACCCTCTCACCTGCCAGCGACAACCAGCTTGGAGTGCAGCATCAAACGGCGTCGAGCGAAATTGAAGCGCCCGCCACAGCCGCTGCACCAATCGAGACCTTCCACCCACTGAGCGTCGCCGGCGAATCGGTCATTGACAACGCCATTGCACGCGCCCTGACTGTCGCGCTCCATCGTTATTCATTCATTTCGACAGACCGCATACCCTGCTGTCGACTTTACCCTCCACTCTAGCCATTCTTTTCCACCACCAAAGAGACTCCGACATTACTGCCACTCGCTACACCATCAACTGCCGAGGTCCGGACGAACCAACCCCATAGTTCAAGCACCTAACGGCGCGCCAGACCCACGAATTGAGGGCACGACGTAAAGTCACATCTGATCGACCGACACGCAGCACTTGATTGTGTCTGCTCCAGCCACCAACATCACCACGACACTTTGCAGCGACACTACCGCACACCATGGCTTCTACTGGGACCAGCACAGCAGGGAACACCATCGTGACGCAGGACGATACCTCCAGTCTCAAGTTCGACGGTGGAGGTGGCATCTCGATCGCGCCGGGCACTATCGCCGCCATTGTCATCCTGCTCGTCCTTGCCTTGGCAGGCCTGATCATCGCATGTGCATATGCATTTGGAGGCTTCAAGAGATGCTGCTCCTGCTGCGGCCGGAGTGGTCGCAAGAAGCGACTCTCTCAGCTGCCCGTCTACAGTGATCGAGGCTATCTGGACGAGCGGGATAAGCTGCCGGCTTGGAACCCCAGTGCGTCTACGACAGAGATTGGGCTCAGCAGAATGGCGAGCGTGAAGCAGGGCTTGTTCCCCAGTTTCACCCGAAAGGGAACCATGGATCGCCCATTGATGCAGGAAAGCCCTGTTACCAGTCCGAGAAACTCGCAGTTGACGCGGCACTCGCAAGGCACACTAGGAGCGCCATTCCGAAGTCCGACGAGCCCTTATATGAACGGCAGCAACAGCAGTTCACAAAAGTCGAGATTTTCCATGTGGCAGGATGAGAGACGGTAGATTTCTGAAATGTTTGTGAGGGATTTTATGGAACTTATACGCGCAAGGAAATGCGGGTAGGAGTGCTGGCGCTTCCTTATAAAGGGCATGACAGTGTGCGTTGCGAACATTGCACCTGACGAGCGGGCTTGTACATACCATTTGCGCAACACATAACGACAGCCAAAATTCACTAGTCCTTGTTCTGATTTTTGTGTCCGCTCTCGATAGGAGAACGAGTGCCTTCTCGCCGCGGCATGCTGTGCAAGTGGCGCAGTTGCGGGCTTGGAACCCAACTTAGGTCGCTGTGCGGCCTCAACCTGATCAACGGCATGCGGGGTAAAGGTGTATGCAGAGCAGAGGTGAAGTGCAACGACTAATATATAGAGGGGAGGTGATCCTGGTGTCGCTCATTCAGGCGCAGGTCGTTAGCGAGCGCGCATGCAGACTCTGGCTAGACGCACGGCAGCAGAGCGTGCACGGGACGACGAGACATTCCTCTGCACGGCCGCAGACAGGCAGTGCGCTGGGTGGTTCTTTGTCGCAGGTGGATCATGAATGAGCTGCTCCATTCTGCCGCCCATGGGCGAGACTGCCAAGCCTTCTGTGCTATCTTCAGCCCTGCCACTCTTTTGCAGAGCATCATCATCCGACCACCTCACACCTGCCTGCTGCTTGCTGCTTGCTTCGACATTCTTCGCGCGCGCCCCTCGTCACTCTCCCTTGCCCGTGCGCGCTCACACTCTCTTGCACCTTCGCCGTGACTGTGTGTGCCGTGGCCGAGTGCGACCGGCGCCCTCTGCTCGTCCCGCCGCCCGCCCGTCGAGCGCGAGAGAAGAGCAGACCGACTGCTGCGGCATCACCGCGCTCGCTGACGTAGATTGCTCGCGTTGGGCCACCCCAGAGCTCCGACATATTCACCACCTCCACCTGCGCTTCACCACCGCTCCTCCACGACCTCCGTGCTCGCCCCACCGCCGCCACCGTCGACGCCACGCTCGCATCACCGCTCCAAGTCCTGCAAGGCACAGCCCGTGGCCCCGCATTGGCACCTGCTGCCGCCAGACACGCAGACAGCGCACTCAAGCACACTCGCTTGCGCTGTCGCCCCTGCCCCAGCGATTGACCACAGCAGATAACACTTGGAGAAGATGGTGGAAGCTGCGGACGGCGGGAGCCAGCCTACCTGGAAGTTCACGCAGTAAGTGCCTGCCCTTTCTTTGTTCTCACAACCACATTTCCTGTGCACACGAGCGGCGGCGGCGGCATTTGTACAGGACGAGCTAGTATTTTCGCGCACCACGCACGGCATCACGGGGCTCGAGTCACCACATTGCTACGGCAGCATGCTCTCAAGCATCCGATCATCGCTGTTGGGCGACCGGACAAATTCTCGCAGACACGGACCGCAGGCCTCTCGTACGCCTGTGCCCGCATCAACTGCAACGGCATTAGTGCGAGACTGCGTCGACGAGGTGATAGAAAATGATGGCGGGGAAATTTGGGTGCCATTCGAGCGTCACGACCATATGACAGACTTGGACGAAGAGGACTACGAAGATCCGCAGTATCGAGCGGATCAGAGCAACCTTCCTGTCGCGGAACACGTGTGGCATTTCACGCAGTGCGAACGCTTTGGCCCTAAGTTGATGAGATTAAGCGAGAAGCCTAGACCGAACAGAGATACTGACACTGTGGTGGCAGGTGCTTTGGCGATAAAGGCGACGTCGAGGACATCACAGAAGCCGACATCATCTCGACCGTCGAATTCGATCAAACGGGAAACTACCTCGCCACCGGCGACAAAGGCGGACGTGTCGTCCTCTTCGAACGTAATGAGACGAAAAAGACGTGCGAGTACAAGTTCCACACCGAATTCCAATCGCATGAGCCCGAGTTCGACTATTTAAAATCCCTTGAAATTGAAGAAAAGATCAACAAAATCAAGTGGTGCAGAAGACAGAATGCTTCGCATTATCTGCTCTCAACAAACGACAAGACCATCAAGCTGTGGAAGGTGTTTGAAAAGTCCTTGAAAGTGGTGGCTGAGAACAACCTATCGAACGAGCTCACGCCAGCTGGTACAGGCAATGCCAACGGCGGCGGTCCCGTTCGATATCCCAACCATGCATTCAAGAGTGTAGCAGACCTCAAGTTTCCACGCATGACGCACCACGATACCGTCGTTGCTGCTGTACCCCGGAGAGTGTACGCCAACGCGCATGCATACCACATCAACAGCATCTCTGTCAACAGCGACGGTGAGACGTTTATCAGCTCCGATGACTTGCGCATAAACCTGTGGAATTTGAACATCCAAGACCAGAGCTTCAATATCGTGGACATCAAGCCAGCTAACATGGAAGAACTTACGGAGGTGATAACAGCTGCCGAGTTCCATCCGGTCAGCTGCAATTGGTTCATGTACGCTTCGAGTAAGGGCACGATCAAGCTGGCAGACATGCGGCAGAGAGCGCTGTGTGATGAGCACGCGAAGCGTACGTGACCCCCTGAATTGTGTTCCGGATTCTTACTGACCATGGCCCAGAGTTTGAGCAAGAGGAAGACCCTTCTTCGCGATCATTCTTCTCGGAGATCATCTCTAGTATCTCAGACGTCCGCTTCTCTCACGACGGCCGATACATTCTCTCGCGCGACTACCTGACTGTCAAGATTTGGGACGTTAATATGGAGAAGCAACCGGTCAAGACGATACCTATCCACGAGCATCTCCGGCCCAGACTGTGTGACACCTACGAAAACGACAGCATATTCGACAAGTTTGAGGTTGTGTTCTCGGGAGACGCCAAGAATGTCATGACTGGCTCGTACAACAACAACTTCATGATCTATCCCTCGGAAGAAGGCAAGGACACAGAAGTCGTCTTGCAGGCCGACAAGAGCGCATTCAAGGCTAAGAAGGTGGGCATTCCTACGCCCATGAACAGTGCCGGTGCGAAGGACGGCAAGAAGGGATCTCGAGCGAGCAGTCCAGTCGGCGGGGCGCAGAGAATGCGCAAGGAGACGGACGCGGACCAGATCGACTTCAACAAGAAAATCCTCCACATGTCGTGGCATCCACAGGAGGACAGTATTGCTATTGCGGCGACGAACAACGTAAGCTCCTGACTCCTTCCCGTGTTTTGTCAAGTTCATAACGCTGACATTCATTCTAGCTGTTCGTCTTCTCGGCTTTGTAGACCTTCGGTCTGGCGCAGAGGCTTGCAATAGTGGGGGGAAAAGTGAAAGCAGGACGGCATTTTGCATGATCACAGTCAATCAGAATGGGCGCAAGTGGTAGTGATGCGAGATTGAATGGGAACGGCAGTACTCTTCCACGGGGAAGGTCGGTACTCGATCATGGCGTGTGCTATGTAGCCCATCGGTCTTTAAAGCCGATATCCTGACATGAAAAGAGTTGTCGAACTACACGTGCTGTGCTTCTTGTTTACTCAGTGGTTGTGCTTGCGAATGCATAAATCGCCTTTTCAGATTAGGATGATGACAGATGAAAATACTGCACAAGGCCCATTGATTGTGAGTCCGGGCGAGAAGTGAGTGAAAGGTGGAACTGCGGCGCGGAGCTCATTCCGTCGGGTGTATGCAACTTTCCTTGAGCTTGCGGACTTCTGCCCAACTCTGCATTCTCCGTCGCGCCCCCTTCGACATGTCAGAATATTGGAAGTCAACGCCATCGTACTGGTGCAAATTCTGCTCGCAATATGTGCGCGACACGACCATCGAGCGAAAGAACCACGAGGCCTCGGCCAAGCACCAGAATAACATCCAGAGATCACTGCGAGAGCTGCACAAGGGCAAGGAGCGAGAAGAGCGGGAGAAGCAGCGCGCCAAAGATGAAGTCAATAGACTGAACGGCCTCGTCAGTGGCCAGAAATCAACAGCTGCGCAATCCGGCGGGGCTTCGCAAAATGCAGGCAAGACCGGCAAACCTGCTCCTGCTCCGCCGCCTACCCAATCGACGGCACAGCAGAGAAAGGCGCATGCGGAGCAGCTGGCTGCGCTGGGCGTGGAGCTTCCGGAAGAGTTGAAGAAGGAGGTCACGGGTGTTGGGTCTTACCAAGTTGTCGATGCGCATGAGGTTGATACGAGCTCAGCTGGCGCAGTCACGGTGAACCGATCGCTTGCGGAGATTCTGGCAGAGGCACGCAGAGGGGAGAATACAGTCAAGGAAGAAAAGAAACCATCACATAACGACGAGACTGAGGATGACAAGGCCGGAGTGAAGCGGAAATATGAAGAAGACGATGATCCGAGAGACGAGGAGGCTGCGCCAAAAATGCGAAAGGCTTGGGGAAGCACCGTCAAAACCTATCCTGGAAAGACTGAGGATGTCGATGCCGCCGATCTGGACGCCCTTCTTGGAGGGGTGAAGAAGAAGACGAAGACAGAAGATGGAGCTGTGGTCAAGGAAGAGGATGGCACTGCGGCGACCACGTTGAACTCGGTGCCTGACGTCGAAGCAGGCACATCAACAGATGTCAAGCAAGAAGACGGATCTGCTGCTGCGCCTGCAGTGGTCTTTAAGAAGAGGAAGGGGAAAAAGTGAACACACTTCGCGTCTGATTCAATTATTTGACTAGCGATGGGGCGCATAGCTGCACTATTTTTCTGCAGTCTCAAGCTACACTCGCTCACGACAAAGCAGGCGGCTCGAATCCATTCCACTCCTGATAAGCTAAGGGCACTTCTGGCCAAGCATCCACGCCATCCAGGACGACCATGCCCATCCCGCCCGACAAATGCGTTTGCACATGGCAGTGGAATAACCATGCACCGGCATATTCAGCCTTGTACCTGACTGCAGTCCAGGTATCGTTGGCTTGCCCCTCCATCTCCACTGTGTTGAATGTATCCAGGTATGGAGGATCTTGGAAGTTGAAAGTGCCTTCGGGCAGATGTGGGATCGCCTCTTCCACGCTCTCCCACGGAAAGCTCCCTGAACCCGAGCCGATGAGGAACACTTTGTTGCCGTGTTTGTGCATTGGATGCGCTTGGGCGAATGGACCTGCTGTTACGAGGACGAGGTCGACCCAATCACCGATCTGCGTTTTCAGCGTAAGTTCCGTGGCGGGAACATCTTCTACATTCTGCAGCAGCAACGGAGGGTCGTCGTGCTCATGGCTAATGTTGTAGCCCAGGCTGCCGGTCTGCGTCCACTCGTACGCTCTATAAGGTTGGCCTAGTTTTTTCAGCCGAAGCTTGAAAGTGGAGTCGGCGCTCTGCGCAGGTCGCAAGGCTGGGTATGGGCTGCTGTCCTCGGGCACAAACGACACCATCTCGCTGCTAATCAGCTTGCCACCATAGTTCGTCTTCGGATGCGGGTGTTTGGGAGCATTTGTCGCGCCATCGTACGCTAGCTCGGCGAAGCCGCCTAAGATCTGGTTGAGGTAATCGTTGGCAACTCGCACAACGTGTCTGGCCTTCTCTTGATCGAGCTTGATCATCACGGATATTCGACTCCCAGTGTTGACCAGGACACGATCTGCGACTATTGGGTACACGTACTGCCCATCTACAGCGTACACGTACAATTCGTGCGAGTCAATCGACAGCTGCAGAGGGTACAACCCTCCAGGATTGACGAATGTCAACGCCGCCCAGCCGATCGAGGTGTCAACGTCAATCGTATAGTTTCCCTTCGAGCTCTGTCCTCCTTTGCACTTGTTGTAAGCGAGCTCCGGCACATTCTCCAGGTGCAATTCAAAGTCTCCATTGAACATTTGCAACGGAGGGATGCAACCCTTCGGCGTCATATGTCCGCCTGCGAGCTCTTTCAACAGCTGCAAAACAATGGGATTCGTCATATCGTCAAGCTCTTCCTCGGACAGGCAGTACTGCGAGCCAACCCCTTGGACGAGGATGGAGTCCATGCACGAGAAATCAATATTCGCAGCATGCTGGATTCCGTGGTATTCTGCAGACGTGTACTGGGACCAGTCACTGACGAAGATGGGTCGCATCAACTTCTCCGCTGCAAGCATTGCCGCCTGATCGGCCTCGCCGCTGCTGATAAGATGAAATGGACGCGGTGCCTCGTCATCTGGTGCAATGACGACCGCGCCATAAAGGCCGTCCATCATTTGAGATTTGGCGTGAGAATGGTAGAAGTATGTTCCGGCGTCGTGTGCAGTCCAGTTGTACAGGAATGACGCCCCAGGCCTGATTTGGCTTTGTGTCAGGCCTGGCACTCCGTCCGACCATGGCGTAGATCGCTGATCGATGCCATGGAAATGGATGCTTGTGTCTTGTTGCATGTAGTTGTGAACGACGAACTCGATCCTATCGCCTTGCTTGGCGTAGAGGGTAGGTCCGATAAAGGCATCGTTGATGAAGATCGCTTCCCGAAAACCTATTCCAGCTGCGTCGATTGACTGTGTCGTTAGGGAGATTTCGAAGCGAACAACTGGAGCCTGTATTTCTTTGCTTCCAATCTCTTGAACGACCTCGACATCGTCCACGCATCCCGATGGACGAGCTGCGGCTGGGCTGACGCATTGAAACAGTAGGGTCAACGCCAAGGGGTAGAGTCGAACAGACCACATTGTTGACGAAGTGGACGAACTTCAAATTCTTGTCCGCAACATGGATGTCTGCCTGAGACCAAGAGCAGTATCTCTTGCCAAAGATCTAGAAGAACATCGTGTAGGTCTTTGGATGTCTTGGCGTCCAACGGGCATTGAATCCCGAGTCGTGTCTGAGGTCACCGAACCGGCGACTACAGCTTCTACTACACCGCTGACTTCAAAGGCAACTCGCTAGAACAAGACACTGGCAGCGTATTCACCCTCGCATTGGAGATCGATTAGCCAAGAATCACGCCAACAATTCAATACTGCCATTATGCATTTTCCAGCGCTCGCTGTGGCGGGCTGCCTGCTCTCCCGTGCCACTGCGCAATCACTGGATCAAGTGCTTGCAAAGCGGGACTCATTCTCACTGCTACGCGATCTTCTTCATCAGCATGGCCTGGTCGATGAACTGGAATTCACGGCCAATGCCACGTTTTTCGCGATGACGAATCAGGCACTGCGCAGCCTGGCCGACTTTGGCATCAACCTTACGACCGCTGACCCCAACATCGCTCGAGCGATCTTCAAGTATGCACAACTGGATGCCATCTACACAACCGACACGGTCAAGGCATTGCACCACGAAGCAAAGGTTGTGCAGACAGCTCTGCAGCCACACCTGTTCAACAATTTGACGAGAGGTCAAGCTGCGAAGCTGAGAAGCAATCGAACAGGCGGAGCGAATGGTATCCTGGTCGAATCCGGATTGGGTGTCTTGACGCCCGTCGTGGAAGCAGACATTCCCTACGATCACGGCGTCATTCACGCTATCGACGCGAACATGGTCCTGCCTCACAACATTTCTGAGACTGCAAGGCTCGGCGGCATGACTGAATTCTTGAATCTGTTGGAACGATCCGACAGCGTTGCTAGACTGGAGAGCTTGTCGGATGTCACGATCTTCATTCCGCAAGACGAAGCACTCGCCAAGCTGCAGCCTATTCTGGATATGCTTACATCGGAGCAGCTGAAGTCTGTGGTGGCTCAGCATGCCGTGCCGAATCGAGTGCTGTATCAGAGTCTCTTTGATGGCGTGGAGACTTTGGAAACTTTGGATGGCAGCACGTTGCGTATTCGTCGTGGAAAGAGAGGCGAGATCTTTGTTAATGGTGCTGAAGTCGTTCGCACTGATCTGTTGCTATATGGGGGAGTGGCACATTTGATTGATGGGGCTCTTTTGCCCGAGAAAGGTGAGCATCTTTGCCATGAATTTCTGTGAGGCAGCTTCGCTAACGAGTCGCAGATGCGTCCTGCTCGACCGGTTTATTCGCCGCAGCAGCTGGTGGATCGAGTCGAGTCTGGAAAATCCTCGCGAGCCACCAGCTTACGCTGCTGGCAGTGCTCGCAATGGCTCTGGTGTCCATACTGTACAAGGCTTACCAGTCACGGAAACAGAGTCATCAGCTGATCAGACCGAGCGATGGTCTTGGCAATTATGAGAAGGTGTAGAAGGATCTCAATCCGCGTGCCCACGGCGGCACTGTACGAGAATCGAAGCGCCGGTATCCTGTTAGATGGTTTCCGAACTCCTCTGTCTTGATTTCAAAGTCACGAGGCAATGAATCAAATTCGGCATTAATCACCGAGCTCAGACCAAGAAGTTCCCGGTGGAGATCACCAGCCTGTCACATGTCAATCGACGCTCGGCATCATCGCTATCCAACCTCAATCTACGTACACGGTTCGTTTCTCGGCATCTGTCACACTCTCCGACCCTCTTGCGCGTCTTTCAGAGTCGCTGGGATCATGGATGCATACCTCGCAGGAATATGGGATGAACAGGGAGAGCGCTTTCCATAACTACATCAATCGTCTTTGATCAATCAAGAATTCAGCAAACACTCCTTCCACACCAAATTCAAAGACCAAGCAAACAACCACTCTATCAGCCATCAATTATCACAATGGGATCCATCGGAGAGCCAAACCGTCTGCTCTGCTGGAGCATCTACGTCACCAAGAAGCCAGACCAATCTGAGGAGGATCACCACAACCATGTCTCCAAGGTCAATGCTCCCATGATGATACCATTTCTGAAGAAATATGGCATTGTTCGTTACACTGTGGTCCGTGCCTCCCTGCCTTGAAATAGCATTTCACACAAATCATTTACTTACTCGCATCGCAGAAGCACAACGATGCTCACTCTAAGCCCAAGCAAGCGGCTCTGATGGCCGGCCAGCCAGAAGAGAATGTCCTCGCTTATGACACTGTTTTTGAGATGATTGTCAAAGACATTGAGAGTATTCAGACTATGCAAAAGGATGAGGAGTTTTTGCGTACTACTATTCCAGATCACTTCAACTTTGCGGATATGACTCGCAGCAAGTATGTTGTCACTTTCTGATCTCTGCTGCTTATTTTGTTGGGTTTTGCTAACTTTGTGGTGATTTAGGGGATCGTTGACTTGGATTGAGGAGTTCACTTTCTAGGTGATGAAGGCACAGGGTCGTGTTTGTAGCATGAGATAGGATGCTCGGTGCTTAGCATAAGCAGCGTATTTGAAGCTAATAATACATCTTGTTATACTGAATACACTCATGTACTAAGATCACCATGACCTCGATCTTTCTCCTAAGCCTGTTTTTGTCATAATTGCAATCGTCTTCGATTGTACGGAGACATGTCGCCTATGTACAGATCGAACGATCGCAGCTTCCCAGACTCCCTCTGAGAATCTCCAAACTTGATTACACCGAAGGCTAGCTCGTAAACCGGCGAACGTCGCGAGGTGCTCGCCGAGAGTACCTCGTACGAGTACGTACCAGTATGATGAAAGTATCCGAGCTGGTCGCCGAATCGTTCACATGCCGCAGCGGCCAAGTTCTCCCATGCAAGTCAGGCATGGAATTCCGCGTATTCAGCTTATCAAGTCGATCTTATCACTGAAACTCAGTCAACTTTCTATGCAGCTTTCTGGAGCACGGTGCCAGACGCAGAAACTGTTCAATCGTCTTTTTCACCGCCTAACAAGAACCGCCAAGATGACAAGTACTATCACGACCACTGAGACTCTGCAGGATGCAGTACCATTCGTGGCACCACCAAGCCCACCTGAAGACACAAGCAACAAGGAATTGCCAGAGAAGCCTTACTACGATGTTGAATTCAACTACCGTCTTGACCCACGTGATGGAGGCGACGAAGTCATTTGGGGCGGTACTGTTGGTTTGATGCGCAGGAAGTATGAGACCCGGACGGTACGAATCAACAATGAACGTGGTAATGAACACAACTTCAACCTCGACACTCATGGCTTTGCTTGGGTCAAGCACAAAACCTCCGTGACTGAATTTGCGGACTACTTGGCAATTCGTCAGGGACCGTACTTTGGCGAAGTTGCTGAGATGTTGAAGAGGGTGTAAGTATGATCGATCACGCCATCAAAGATCGTCGTGTTGACCTTTACGCAGCACTGGAGCGACTAAGGTTCATGTGATCGGACATCTCCATCGTTCGTTGAATTACAACGATACGACTGAGGAGGAGAAGAATGCCCCAGACATGACAATGACCAAGGGGCAGACTCCAGGACGTTTCGTGCACGTCGATCAATCCTACCAAGGCGCAGTTCGTAGACTCTACCTGGATCTTCCCCAAGAAGAGGCCCGCAGGCTGGAGAAAACCAGATGGGCCATCATCAACGTCTGGCGTCCCGTTCGGAAAGTCACCAATGAGCCGCTAGCAGTCTGCGATGCTCGATCAGTCCGAGAGGACGAGTTGTTCAACACTCTGCATCTTGTACCAATGAGATGGCCGGACGCCGCACCTCAGGAGAACCAGATGTGGGCTGTTGCTCCTCCCAAGACTCCAACACAGCACAAGTGGCATTATGTATCTGGTATGACGGAGGATGAGGCGTTGTTGATCAAGATGTTTGATTCTAAGAAGGATGGCACTGCAAGACGTGTTCCACATTCTTCTTTCCCTACTCCAGATGATTTCGGAGAGCCGAGAGCGAGTACTGAAACGAGATGCTTTGTGTTCTGGGAAGATCAGGAGGCTGAGTAGGGGTCGTGTACAGTAGTCTTAGCTATTTTTCGTAGCTCTTGATGATTTGACTCTTCTGCAGCATAGTTGTCTTCCAATTCTTCCATGATTGGGAAATCGAGCTGAGTGGAATGAGAAAAATTCGATCGTTCTCCAAGGGAGATCATCGACAGCTCCATAGCGTTATTCAATCTCGTGAGCTGTGAAGACTCCTTTGCTTCGGAAAGCGCGTGCTTTCGACGAGAGTTCGAGAGGACTGGTAGCCATTAAAATTCTTTGTTTATTTCGTCGTCAAAGCTCTATTGCCTCTGAGCCACACACTCTATTGGGGACATGCGTTAGTCGTAACAGCTCGCTGCAATGTCTATACACTCGTTGCTCGGTCTGATGCCACATCTCACACTGCTTTGCCCGCGATCTCTGCACTCTGCCCTTTCTCTGGATCTTCTGTCTTGCCCGTCGTCCCATTAGTTTTCTTGCCTTCTTTGGCGTCTTCGTTGTCTCGTTTCTCACGCTTAACGCTCTTGAGCTCGATGAGTGGAAGAGGCAACACACTCAGACAAGAGACTATGATTGCGACCATGAAGATCTTCGTCACAGAATCATTGAAAGCGTCAAGGGCATCTCGAGCTTCAGGTGTGCCAGCTCCAAAGATGTTGTCGAGCTTTGAGCGGATCTCAGTTGCTCCGGTGCCACCATAAGCTTGCTCAGCGACCTCAGTCCCTAGCCTACTGGCAAGTGTTGTCTGGAGTACACTTTGCCCGATGGGTCCGGGGATTGCTGATCCAAGTAATCGGACGAAGAGTACCAAGCTTGTGCCTGCTGGAATCTGAGCATCGGGCAGGACAGTCTGAACAGCAACGTTGGATTGCTCGAGACTGACGCCGATACCAATGGCGAATACGATCGAATAACCGATACTGTCATGTGTTAGAAATTGCTCAAATCAGTCGGGGCTCGAGTACTTACATATCCCATTGCGGTGTGTCGAGTGTGATCGTGTAAAGCAAGCCAGCGCCGATGCTGCATAAGATAGTTCCGGCGTAAATGAAAGGATAGTAATATCCTATTTTTACAACAGCACCGCCAGCTGCAATTGATGAGAGAGTGAGCGAGATGACGATACCAAGTTGCTTGAGACCAGCAGCTTCGGCACTGTCAGATCGTACTGCTTGAAACCTTCATAATGTCAGTTCGTGGGCCTAGTGCATGCTCATGAATCAACTCACCAAAGAGGCAGATAGTATATCACGAGTCCAAATGCGGCGCTCAGAAGCAGGGTATAGATGGAGGCGCCACCCACAGTACGCTGTTTCGCAACGTTGTATGGTAGTGTGGCCTCTTCACCTTGGAAATATTGCAGAACCAGCCATCCAATGAAGCTGACAGCGAAGACCACAAGGACCGCGACCACGCGACCAGCACTCCAGGGATATTCGCCGCCGCCCCACTGAAGGGCAAGAAAGAAACATGCCAGGGATCCCAGTAGAAGGGCCGACCCAAAAGGATTGAGCTTTAGGAAGAACTGCCACCAGGAAAGGTCCTTCACCTCTGCTGCTTTTTCACCTGGTCTCGATGGCAAGAGGAACACTATGATAGCCACCGCTACAGCTCCAATAGGCAGATTGACTAGAAAAAGTGTCAACAGGTGGAATAGAGTAAACGCTGCCCAAGACTTACTGTAGAAGCACCATCTCCAGCTAATACGGTCAGTAAAGATACCACCCAGAACAGGTCCCAGCACAGCAGCAATGGCAAATGTCGCTCCAACCAGCCCAGCATAAAGTGCTCGTTTTCGCAGAGGAACGTTTCGAGCGATGATGATGAAGACGCCAGCGAAGACTCCTGCGTTGCCGACACCTGCAATTGCTCTGCCCAGAATGAGAAGCACAGAAGAGTTTGCCACTCCGCAGATCAGACTGCCAATCAGGTATAGGGTCAATGACACGAGAAAAGTCCACTTCAGGTCCATCAACAGATACGCTCGTCCGAAAGGTAGTTGGAATGCTGTGGCCGCAAGAGCCTCGCCGGAGTTGTACCAACCAATATCTCGCGTACTATTGAATGCTGTTGTGATGGCCGGGATGGCTGTGCTGATGATGGTGTTGCTCAAAGCGACAATGAAGACTGTTGAGACCATGGCTAACAAGAGGAATACCAAAGGCCAGCCGGAGATATACTTTTCGCCTTGATCGTTGAGTTCTTCATCTTCTTCTGACTTGGCTTCAGGAGTCTCCGCAGATTTCGAGGCTGGCTTCTCATCTTGAATATCAGAATCGCTGTGCTCCAGTTCCAGTTTCGATTCGGAGTCACTCTTCACAACATCGTGAGATTCTGTGTCAGTATGCGTTGATCGCGCTGGGCTTGCCATTGTCAGTGTGTGGAAAGTAGCCGGTCCAGACTGCTATGAGGAACTCATTCGACGGCCCCTACCTCTTTATGAAATCTTTCTCAGACTATCAGCGGCCCACCTACCACGTGGAATTGCGCGAACTGAACAACGATCTCCCTGCTATTTGTCGATGACGAACCTATTGCCGTAGATCGAAAACAGTATACGGCGGACGTGGCCGTCTGAGTCGGGCACTCGAGGACATACGGACTATGTTCGCCGGGCCAAGACTTTGCAAGCTAGGTGGGCCCGCTGCAAGACTCCTATCCAATGAGCGCACGGCATGATCTTTATATGCTATAATGCCTGAGGCATCAGAAGCGCAACATCTGTCCTCTGGTCCAGCAGTCAGCATTGAATACATGTAGACTTCAACGATTTTTCGAGTGCTAACGAAAGTGTCTATGGTGAAGAGATATTCGCAGAGTAAGCGTTGGTCGAGGAGAAACGTCCGCAGTACAAGACATACCGCTATAAAAGTATCAAGCTCAGCGACTTCTGCATGGTCATATAAGTATCGATCTATTGGGTCTGCGTTTGGTCGACAGAACGCCTGAGGCCGGCCCTTCAATTAGGCAGCGCAACGATTCCAAGCTCATGCATCGCTTCAGCTACCTCGCCAAAGAGAATCCCATCCCGGATGGCTTCGTAGATGATAGAGACCTGCGAGCCTATAGTCTTGCGCTTGCCTTGGTCTCCGGATCCGCAACGTGGATGAGCCTCTAAGCCGTGATGCATTGGCACAGCCAGAGTATTCCGAACATATCCGTGCAGCTTCCTAGTTCCCGCGCCGAGATATTGTGCAGTATCTGGTGATTCCAGGAACGTAGCACGTTTCGCGGTGAAAGTGTGAAGCAGCTCGGACTTGATCTTGGCCTGCAGACTGTTCACATCTTTGATCGACAGGTTGAGGTGGATCTTGCTCCGGGAAGATGGGTCAAGCCCAGCAAGATGGAGCACATAAGCCTGCGCAGCTTTGTCACTCCGCTGCTCGAAAGAGGCCGAAGCATTCTTCCACCTGTGTGATGGAGTGCAGGGATTAGCAATTGGGTCTTCACAGCTTCTGGGACGAGCGCCTTACCAGGTTCTCCGCATTGCCTTGGATGCAGAAGCAACGATATCCTTATAGCCTGCCTCGCCAGTGTGCACCGACAGCGTGGCAGTGCACAGATCATCGATCTGTGGAGTGACCTCGCTGAGGAACGTCGCATGCATGACGCGTAGATCCACCCCTTGACAAGCGGCATAAAGTGCGCTAGCGGACAAGAGAGCCACCAGTTCGACAGCCTGGTGGGTATATCTTGCCGACAGTAGCGCAAGGGAATTGATGGCCTGGTTGTGCATCTCTGCAGACTGCACATGGTTGGAAACCGGGTTTGCCAAGAAGGACAATTCCGATTGATATGCTGCCATGTTGATATCCAGACCTTTCAAGCAAAAGGATTGGCTAGGATCGTCAGCTGCAAGGTTGGCTGGCAGTCCATTGCTCATCTGATGATTGAGGATCTCTGTAGTCTGGCTGAATAACATCTTCCCGACCATCCTGAAAGTAGCCGGTAAGCATGTGTCTCGGAGAAATTCTAACGACACTTACTGCAACCCAAGGCGCATTTTTTCAACCGCAGATGTAATGCTAGACGCCTGGAAGTTACCACCGCAATAGACCTGGCCTCCCACAGGATCGGTGCCTTGCCGCAGAGTGTTAGCAGGAGTCATGGCGTAGCTCTGTTGAGAAGAGGGCACCCAAGGTCACAGGAATGGGAAAGTACTTCGAAAGAACTTACTAGGGTTGTCAGAGGTCGAGTTCAGCTCAGTAGATATCTGTGTGTGAGCTGATAGAATGTCTTCAAATTGAGGTCCCAGCCATTGTGGCGAGGTACGCAGCGGATATCGATCCTGTGCAAGTGAGCCTTCAAAGCGCTCAACAAGACTTCCCGCCATCGTGATGTCGTCGCCAGCCCCAGATACCATTTCCGAGTCCTGAAGAAAAGTTCTGATGATGTGGGATGTTTCATATTGCCCAGGATGAGGCCTTATATCGGAGAGGAAGGGATGGGACCACTCTACGCGCGCTGACATAGCTTCCGAATTGAGTGCAGTGATGCATGCAGATAGAATGGAGAGTTGTGCGGCTTCTGCGAACACCAAGCTGGCGACAGCTGCGGAAGCGGATGTACCATTGACAAGAGCAAGAGCATCTCTCGCAGACAATGCGGTAGGCGTCAGCCCTCGGGATAAGAGGGCCTGATCTGCTTGCTGTACTGTGACCTTAGACCGCTCTTCCACTTCAACGAACACATCAGGTGAGCCCTCAATGGCGCCAGCGACGTAGGCAAGAGGCATAAGATCCCCAGAGGCAGATATTGAGCCGCGAAGAGGCACAATTGGTGTAATTCTTTGATGGAGCAGATTCAAAAGTGCATCAACAGCGTCCCGAGAAATGGCTGAGTGGCCACGCAGTACCGAGTTGGCCCTCACCGCCATCATGGCTTTCGTCCATGCCGCGGGCAGTGCATGGGATTGAATTCCGTTGGCTACTCCAGTTCGATCCCGAGTTGTTAGAACGGCGCTCTGCAGTGTCTGTAGAAGGCTGCGCTGCAGAGCATCCGGATTCTGTGAACGAACATCGGCACTTCCGCCAAAGCCAGTGTTGATGCCTAGAGAATGTATTAACGCTGCGAGTCGATAGAAATCACTCTTGTTGAGGTAGAAGACGAAATAGTTGCTGCATTGGAATCTCAATGATAGACGCACCGTAGAGAGTTTCCCCTTTCTCATAGCTGGCTTGCACAACCTTGACGCTCTTTGCAAGACTTAGCACTCCATTGATCTCCTCGATTTTGGGGACGACGTTGTGCCTGGCAGCACTGTCAGCTGTAGTTCCCCTACGAGATAAGTCCTTCCAACCTCGCTACTGCCACGACACTGGCCACGTCTAGCGTGTGACCCGAGATCCGTAGGTCGCCATTGGCGCGGAGCTCCTCAACCCGTCTGTGCGTATCACAGAGCAAGTCTGTCAAGGGCGTACGGCTGCTTTTACGGTGCATGGCGGAGTGTATGAATGGACTGTGAGATGGTGTTCCAGGTCCGTTGGGTCACTGCGAGTCATAAGCTAGAAGATGTTTGTGCCTGCTCATTTGACTATTATAATTCACAGGCAAGCGCGGGCCGACAATCTCAATTCACCAATGTTTACTCGCGTGCTGCGGCCTGTGCAGCCGCATCAGGTGAACCGTTTCGGCGCCTGACATGTGAAAATACAAATTCGGCACGTGGCGTTCGCGTCCCAGAAGACCAGTCACAAACCCGCGCAATGAGAATGAGGGTGAGGGTGAGGTGAGGGTGCGAAGCGGTCGATCGGCCACGAGATGCCGACATCTGGATAATGCAGCAGTTCACTTTCAGGCGAGCCCAATGCAACATCGTTGATACATCCCGCGTTCTGCCATATGCCTTGCAGCTGTCGGGCTGTGTTGCCGGGTGGTGTGCGGATCTTCGGAGGAGCCGTGATCCCTTGATTCGTATGCACGGAAGGGTGGCCATACCGCTGAAGATTGGGTCTACCGAGCCTCCTGAAACGGATTGTGGATGCGAGGGAGCAGCATTGGTGGTTGCACATGTTTCGGAAGAGACGAATACGGATGCCAAGAAACACCCATGCCACCGCACCTCCTCACAGTATTGAGCAGGCTCGCGTTTCTCAAATGGTTTCATCAGACACACTCGATGTATAGCGTTGTCGGAGCCAATATATCTCTTCGACGAGTTATGGTGTGAAGCACAGAAACGAACTTCCGCCCAGGCAGGATCATTGGAGCCAACGACAAGCACCTTAAGCGGGAGCTGACTTCCACGAGAAGATCAGAGACGCAATACGAACTATCAGACCATTCGCGGATTCTCAGCAGGACCCATTCCAATATCGAGGTCGAGAGAGTTCGAGTCGTAGCCACAATTGTCATCCAAAGAGACATGCAGGCTCAAACGTTCAACCCGACGAAATTGCTCCAGCATAGAAATGCTCTGCTGAGTCATTCTTGTCGAAGACGTTGAGTGCGACTCAAAAATTACATGTCAACAGCGCAATTCATCCCGCGACTGAGCGAGGTCTGGATCTCAAATATATCTCTGCGACCAAAACTTGTTCCGGACCCAGCTGGTGAGCTTCCATAAGAGACAATGACGAATATGTGGCAGCGAGACGACACTCCCAGAGTCTCTTAGTTACCATTTTTGTTGGCTACAAGCCGACTAGCAGAGAAGATCTCACTATTCAGAGGAAAATGTGCTTTTCGGCGATTCTTTGATCATGATGTTCTTGGCGGCCCTTGACAAGGGCATGTATGGTATTCCAAGACGACTTTGTATCGTCATCACAGCTTTGTGAGCGTTGCCGTCCCATTGGTGGTGTTGGAGGATCGTTGATCACATCATGTCAACTCATGCTCTACTAAACTGGCAATGCAGGCTTCAGTGGAGAGAACTCCGTCGCGCAGCGGTGGACTAAAGCCGGCGACGTCGGATATCAAGCGTATTGCGACGAGATCTACATCGTCGATGGAGCGTAAGGATTGATCAGACAAAGTGACTGGCAGGTCTTCCTTCCGGAACTTCCAAACGTTCTTGCCGGTTGTTCCAGTGTGGATGATACGGCCGTGGCTGATTGTGGTGTCATCGAAGAGTAATACGCCGTCGCATTCGTCGTACATCAAAACCTTGAACCTTATGCCTCAGTAGGTCATAAAGTCATCCTTCTGAGTAATCACTCATATGCCTTTACCAGGACGGCCATGCTCGCCAAGAAAGCAGCTTGAGACATCGCGGAAGCGCGGAGGCAGGACCGAGACAGGCGCTAACATCTTGTTGATTTGTTCTAGTGTCTTGGAGTGCGCAAGCTACAAGATCCCGATATGCTGCTGTGCATAATGCAGGGTCAAGTCCCATGTGGGTGATCCTAGAACAGTCTTGGCGAGATGGATGAACAGGCGTTGAGGGCGCTTACTTGAATGCTTCCGTGCACAACCTCAGACGGAGGTCCTGCATGTGCACAAATGCAGAGCGACGCTCGTCTCTTCGCCAATGTGCAGCCGAGACACGCAGATGGGGGTGTTCGTGTTCGTAAGCCTGCTGCAAGCGATGTGCGCTACTCAACGAAGCCAAGCTGAGTGCGCGAGTCGAAAAGTACGATGCAAGCCATGCTCTTCAGGTAGAGTGAAGTCAAAGCCGACGCGTGAAATTTATGGGTCCGCGAGCTCTTTCGGGCAGCGCAAGACCCTGTGGTGCATTCTGCAAGGTGATCGGGGTAAATGTCCCCTTCGGGTATTCTTATCTCAGCAAGACTGCAGAATAGCGGCGGGGAGAAGTACTGGCGTCTGGCTGTAATCAATCAAGTGCTTATTTCCAGGCTGGCCAGCGGAGCAACTTCTTCTCTGGCCTAAGGCTCTTGCCTTTCAATGGCCAGTCAAACGTTGGTTGCTTCAGATGTACGGCAGATGTGAAAATGTGGGTCGTTTGGGAACCAAATGCCGTTGAAGGCAATTAGGTAGCGCCAGCGTTTCTGCTCGGAAGGCTGGCGATCAAGTATAATGTACATGCCGAGTGCATTCGTGCTAGTGCCCGGATCTTCAAGGTATCTGGCTAGCCGCCGATACGAGCGACCTCAGTTGTTCCCGTAGCACACACTCCTGCACCTCTAGAGGAGTATTCGACATCGCCACATCGGGCATAGATTCTTCATCTGTCGCTTGGCTAATCTCGTCTGCGAGCGACGCGCGGAAGCGAGGCAGGCGCTCTAAAAGCGGCTCGAGGTGATTCTTGAGCTCAGTCAACACAATTCGGCCGCGGATACCACGCTGAGCTGCTTCGTTGAGTTCGTACGATCCCATGAACAATGGGCTAGGCGCGACGCGGTCGGTGATCGACAAGGCTGTTGCCGGCTTCCCGTCGGCCCTCAGGATGGCGCCATATCCGCTGACCACTGCCGAGACCAGCAGGTAAGAAGCCAGATGTATGGATCCCTGAGCAGAGAAGCAGGGACAGTCTACGGCCTTGGCTAAAGTGGATACGGCGATTCGGTTGCGCATGAGCACCATGTCGACGCTCCGCGAATTGGGATGGTGATGATATCCAGCTCCGTCGTTGCACAGAGGGTTCCTGATGTGCATGTCATCCAGGAGCTGGATGATGCACGTGAGGCAATCGCTGCTTCCTGTTGAAGTGATAGGATTCGATTCGCCTGTGGCTGAAAGAGGTCGACAATGTCCGAGAGGCTCAAACGTCATGATTGGGGCTGGAGGAACATATTGCAGGACATCTGCTCCAGCTCTTGTGGTGTTAGAAGTAGCATCGAGAACGGCCAAGTCTTTGTCCAGAAAGAATTGGGTATCGAAAATGTCTTTCGACGCGGGGATGTTCACATCGTCAGAAGCCAGTGACCATCCCAGATCGTCAAACAGCATGCTTGCATCCGTCACAGGCCATTCTTGCTCAGTATTGGGATCGGGAGGTGGTGAGGCAGGATCTTTGGTCATTGAATCCGCGAGTACAGGTTCTGCCCGGTTCCTTGGTGGGCGTCCGATGCGCATGGACACGCTGTAATGGCAAGTATCGAGCCCCTTCGATACGCAGCGAGCACAGCGGGGTCTCTGCTTGCCGCATTTGATTTTCTGCAAAGCTGAAATGAGCCCGTTGACAAAGAAAATGGAGCCTCGTCAGGCGCAATGCTCACTTGTTGGCTACATTGGTCGCAGGAGTCGCGGACTTTTGGCGCATTGGACATCTTGACGCCGTTGAGCACTGCTCGAAGCACTGTCAGAGTGATTGCTGATGGTAAGGGCTGTCACTGAACGGCACCCGAGTCCTCGGGAAGTAATCGCAGGAGCGCACTGCTAGGACTGGCCGTATGGTTTCTCCATTGATACTCCTGCTTCATTCCGAATAGGCGGGCAACTCGGTCGCCTCTGCCTCCAACATGGTCGGCGGGATCACCGCCGCGCAAGCTGCGTCAATGCGAGCCTTGCCGGTCTCGGCGACCTGTGTGCATCATGCTCTCTGATTTCGACCTAATGACTGAGTGGATTTGAAGGAGCCTTGGCCGCTAGAACCATGCAATGTCTATGTAGAGGGCCGAGTACAACAGCCGGGTAGGTTATCGTGCGCCGTTGCGATCCACGTCGACGCGGTTTGGCCTGAGTTTTCGCATCATCAAATTGAAGCGTCTCAATAGAGGAAGCTTTCGACATGCTGTCTTGCTTCGGAAAGTTTCTCAATCAGCCTCTGCGAAGCATGTCACGAACCTTGCGTGATGCTCGACCGTTACGTGAGACTGTGCATCAAGTAGACAATCTCCATCCAGTGTTGATTGTAATGCAGCCGGTAGAACTCATGCAGGGCTTACGTGGACGCTACGGCGATTGGAATCCACGCGAGTAGGTGTTTCCGCTCCATTCGGCCGTTGGCAAATGCCAGCTGCACAGATCGACTAGTGTGATTGCCATCCCAGGCCCCGCTAGGCAAGCGAGGCTGTGTGCGCGTGAGGGTTGGGGGCACTGCCATATGCCGCTTCTGGAAGGTCTCATGGAATTTGATGGAGAAGGGTGTTAATTCTCAGCTCATTCTTGGCGCTTGTTGATAGTAGGTCTCGGCTTATCCACGGTGTAGCATCCCAGCTACAGCTTAGTTGTGCTTGTCTCTCAAACGTCACGACGAGCGATGGTTGCCGAGATCTGAACCTTCGGTTGCTCGTGCGATTGTTGCCAGTTTGAGAGACGGGAATATCTGTCCCGCACCTTTGGAGAGACTGGACCCCGGGTGCACTTATCGGGCGTTGCGTTGGAGCTTGTGGGAGTCGTTCTTGTCCTAAAATTAGCTGCAGTGACTAGACGATTGACGTTGCAAGTCGTCTACGTTGTGAGTCTAGCTCCAAACTCAAGTGATACTACACAAATCCATGATACGGACCTGATTGCGTGGGGTCGGTTTAGCCGCAAGCTCTCTCCACACCATGCGCCGCCAAGATTAGCGAATTCCCCTGCGCTTCTGACACCCCTCGGTCACAACGACATGCAATTGCCCCAATGGCGTAGCCTTGCCGTACGCAACTGCGACGGCGCATAAGCTCAAGGGAACAGCCTATACCCCAATACTGAGTTGTGCAGATTACAGATCGGAAGTTGTGAGAAGTGATCTGGGCACGAACGCGGACTATTGTCACCAGCCAGAGGCGGCCGTAAGTCCTCGCATTGCCTGGGATGGATGTCGAATGAGGCAATAGAAGACTCCGGTATCATGTGCGGTACGCTGTTTGGCCTGTTATCGGTAAAAGGGGGAAACTGATTGCCATGCATGCAAATAGGGTCCTCTCCGATACGGGTCGCCAGAAGGGTCGTTTGATGGGACGCCTGTGAATTCTGTCGAAGTGCAGCACCCAACATGGACAAATTAGCTCCAGAAATATCAAGCCTGTGTCGAGCCTCAATCTTGAATCGTGTGGTGTAGCCGTGAGACTAGTGTAGCCAATAGCCATGCTTGGCTTCGCGTCGATGGCAATCTGAGGTCCTGACCACACGTCTGTTACCGAAGCATGGTGGAGCATCATCCTTCCTCATCTCTGTGCACTTGAGGATGCTGTCTGAAGTGGCGTCTTGCAGGAGAAACTAAACCATCAGCAGTGCACTTGAACTCAGATGGGGTGACGAGAATCCTTGAATTGAAAGGCTGGCAACACAGTCGAGCCGCATTACTGGCCCGGGCCCCGCCGGTAGCAACTTCTCCGACGCCTTTCCATACGACGGATGCAGTAAATGCAGGGATGTGAATGTCGCCGATAGCCTCGGAGGTCTACGCTCAATGCTCCTTGAACCCCAGTCGGATTCCTCTGGTGAGCGAACCAAGAACAAAGTCCACGGGACATCCTTTTCGAGAAGTGCAAGGCATGCACTACTTCAGAGTCAAACTACGTGCTGCGCACCTCTTGTAGTCTGGTGTAATTTCCTGTTTGGTGCCTCATTGCTCCTGCCGCGATGAAAGCTGACTCAAATTTGATCTAACTCGGAAGCTCAGTGCTGGCGGAATGGGGAGTCGCAAGGATCAGGCTCGGCTGGCAGAGTCGACACCGACATGATGAAGGTACGCGGTCTCCAGTGATGACGCTAGTCCACCTCCGTTCTTGTCAGCGCCTCGCTTGAGCGTCGGGATGTCGGGTGACTGGCATTGGAGCTGGCATTGCGTGTCCACGAAATATCCTGGTACGACCACGTGCATCAGGATGATCTCCAAGACCATGTTCCAAGTTGTGGAGATCCAATAGTTGCCCTGTACCAAATCCTGAGGAAATGTCTGGCAAGTGTTGAATATCAGGTGCCCAAGACTCGCATGACCCACAGACTCTGTAGCTTGGAATTGCTCGGCCTCGACACATTCATTGTCAGAAACAGCGCAGCAACAGAAGTGTCTTGTAGCATGTCGATTGAAGAAGAACACACGCCTTGCGGCGGAGAAGCGACCTTGGGTAGAAAGTTGCGAGATTCATGCAACGCGTGCAGGTAAACCAATATGACCACTTCCACGGGCCAGGCTGATGAGGCCCAGCGCACAGAAGATTCGATGTGGGAAGGAGCGTCCAAGTTGCGCGCGTTGCTTCAGCAAGGACATATGCTGCAACTATAGCCCCTCGCTGCGTACAGGCAGGCACCCAGGCTCTGTAGTGGATCAACAGTCATACAATTTGCATGGCAATGTCGATCTGCCAGCGTCAGAGCGAAACGAGCTGGATGTATCATCGCCGAATGGGCAATCCTGCAGCAACGGACATGATATTAGCGATTTTCTCCAAGACAATTGGCCATGGGACAAGCCACTGGGCGGTTTGGCGGACGCCACGGCACCTGTGCACTCACATTTCTCGAGTAGTCGCGATTGGGCAACGATGGACTGGACCAAGGCACCGAGTACTCGGGTCACGCCGTTGGACTGGTCACCGCCGCACACGCTGCCACCGGGAATGGAACACAACAATTGCCCACAGCACGACTGCTACGCGACTTTACTGCGTTTAGCAGCCGAGCAGCTGCATGTTCCTAGTCAGAAATGTTTGAACGCAGCCAGCGGAGTGCAGGCGGACGCTCGGTGCGCCAGAGATGTGGATTCGCTCTTGACTGAAAATCGAGAAGCGATCCGCCTCCTTGACCGGAGTCTAAGCTGTGCGTGCATGTCGGACATGAGCGTGAAGCTGGTGGCATACATGGTGGCGAACAAGATTGTCTCCATGTATGGGGCGATAGTGGGGGAGCCTGACTGCGGCGATATCGTGGACTCTCCGATCTTCATTGGCTCTTACGCATTAGACACAGCTGCAAGACGCTCCGTCAGGGCTCGAACCGTGCTGAACGAGATTCGACAGCAGGTCGAGCCCGTGGTCGCGAGACTGCCTCGCTTTCAACCCGTCATTCCGAGTGAACGAGGCGGACCCCAGGAGCAAACCTGCGTGGTAAAGACGGACGAAGCAGTGCCCATCGAGTGCATGTTGCGGACTGAACTGCAAAGAGTCGTTGCCATCGCGAATAGCATGATATATTAGAGCGCGTAGGCAAGGCGCGTCCGCCGGGTGAACGGTCAGCGTAGTGATGGCTCCGGTCAGCGTACGCCGGACTGGGCATTCGCACCGCCTTCGTGCTCGGGTTGTTTGTCGCCGACTTTCGTGGCCAGCTGGATCACCGCAGAGGAATCTCGAGCGCGTCGACACGCGACTTCGGCGTGGAGATCGTGCTGCCGGCGTCGGCGACCGCGACTGGACGCGCCGGCGGAGGAGGCCGTACGGCGTCGGTGGGAATTTGGCCGGCGGTGACCGGCGGTGGACGTGGACATCGTATTTGAAGAGCCGGTGCGTGCAGGCGGAAGTCAGCACCAAGCATGAAGGAACATCGTTTGTACATTTGAGGCTGGAAATCCCGTGACGTGCCCCCCTCTAATTACATCAAGTCGTCATCAAATCAAATCAAATCCATCACCCGCGCTTGATGCCCTCAATCTTGGCCACAA